TGATGTTCACAAAACAAAGCGATTTGGTAGTGCCCTGGCATTTCTCACGTGGTACAGTGATGAGGGAGAAAACTTTTTAAACCAAATTGTGACAGGTGATGAAACTTGGGTGTGTCATTTCACACCAAAATCGAAACAACAATCGATGGAGTGGAGACACACTCATTCTCCGAAAAAACAAAAGTTCAAAGTGACAATGTCATTACAAAAAATCATGTGCACTGTCTTCTGGGATAGGAAAGGCGTTTTGCTTACTGAATTTCTTCCCAGAGGTGAAACCATTAATGCCGCACGATATTGTGAGACTTTAACAAAACTAAGGCGTGTCATTCAAAACAAACAAAGAGGAATGCTCAGTAAAGGAATTGTGTTGCTCCATGACAATGCTCGGCCCCATATTGCTGGTGTCACTCAATCGTTAATTCGACAGTTTCATTGGGAGCAGTTCGATCACCCGCCGTACAGCCCAGACTTGCCGCCGTCCGACTATCACTTGTTCCTGCACATGAAGCATGAGCTTGGTGGCAAGCGCTTTGGATCTGACGATGACACGAAAAATGCTGTGGAATCATGGTTATCAAAACTGGCGAGAAGTTTCTTTGATGATGGTATACAAAAACTGGTCACCCGCTATGACAAGTGTTTGATCATTGGCAGAAACTATTTTAAAAATAGTTTAAGACATGTATGTAAGACATGTTTCATGTAAAAATAAAATTGGATTTAAAAAAAATTGTTTTACTATTTTTTTTTTCGAAACAGTATTTAGTTTCCGAATACACTTCGTATATCCCCACATATTACGTCTTGATCTAAAAATTCAAATTCTAGATCTGAATACTTACGCAGACTGTCTGAACATAATTTTACCCGATATTTGTTATGGAACTTTACTTCTGTTCTAGCACCTCCAAATAAAGTAAGAGCAACATTTTCTTTGGAAATAATTGGTAACCCCAATTCAGTGGCTAATGATTTCAAAATATACGATTTCTGGGAACCAAAATCTAAGAGTACTGTAATATCTTTATGCTTTTTGACACCAGCTACTCTTACGCATAAAGTCATTAAAGCTATGTCAGCGGTACAAGTTTGCCTTGCTGTAGCCGTGTGTATGTTGTCTATTTCTGATTTTTCTGGGTTCAGTTTCATTATTAATGTCTGGACACAAAATAACTAAGTGTGATTTACCACAAGCAAAACACCTAACAAACTGTTTACAGAACTTTGCCATATGATTTGGTTCCAAGCATTTTAAACATTTTTTCTCCTTAACTTTAGAAATCCTTTCATTAAGGGATAATGAACGTCCATCGTAACAATTTTTACTGTCATGCATTTTACCACAAAAAATACAAGCATGTTCTTTAGTTGTAAGAAAACCTGTGGCAGTGGGAACATGTGCCTGTTTCTTAAATTTAAATTTACCTTTTGTTTCCCTCTTCGCTTTATCATGATATCCTTCTTTATGACTAATACCATCGAGTCCCTTACGTGCCAATTTTAATCTCTCCTCACCCTCTACTTCAGCCTTTAAAAATTTCATCAAGTTGGTAAGGTGAGAAAGATCAGTTCCTTCAGGCTGGTTAAAGAGCGAACTCCTTTGCCACGCCTTTAAAACATCCTCTGTGAGACACAATTCCACCATCAGAAATAACCACGATGTGTTTTCGCTCGATTTAAAACCTAGAGATTCTGAGGTTCTCAACTGAGCTTCAGTTTTATCATACAGTTTATCAAGAGGTAATTTATCCTTGTGTTCTGCCTTCACATTAGAAACAATTAATTTAATTAGTTCCCTAACATACACTTCTACTAATAATTCAGGTTTCCCAAAACGTTCCTTCAAAGCTAAAACAGCTTTATCATAATTTTCCGAAGTCACCGGATAACTTTCAATAAATTCTTTAGCACATGATCTAGGCTTCATACACTGAATCAAATAGGAAAATTTGTCACTTTCATATAAATCAGTGTCAGTGTGAATTTTCTCAAACTGCAACCGAAACGGTAGCCAATTTATCAATTCCCCATCAAACTTCTTAAGTTCGATTTTCGGAAGTCTATACTGTTTAATCTTACTACAACAAATACCAGCACCATCATTTGGTCTCGTTTCTAAATTGATTTCATCTGAAAATTGCAATTTTTCATTAATTTGCCAAATTAGTGTTATGAAATCATCAGAATACACCTCGCAACTTTCGATTTCTTTAGTAACATCACCCTCTAAAGTTTTCCCATCTTCAGTTAACAAATCAAGAATTTTATCATCTAGATTTTTTATATTTGGATATACATTTTGTAGTTTAGTAAGTTTATCTCGTACTAAATCTACAGAAAAATCTTCTTTTACTAACTCTGTTTATGTTAGCAGTTTTTGCAAAAGAAGTGCGTAAACCTGCCCGTTTAAGTTTTAGAGCCTATAAAGCTTCCATAGTTAACTTTCAAAATAAAACAAAACCGTACAAAATAGTTTCGATTTCAAACTTAATTATACTTTAATACATCAAAAACTATCTATAACCCTTAAAATATTTATAAGGTGTCACGGACGCCACTTTATGTTATTACTAAAACATAGCCTCATTATTAAAATAAAAAAATATTTCTTTCACTCATCCAAGATACAGAACAATCCAGAAAACAAAAGACAAAACTTACTTACTTACCTGGGTAGTGTGATGTTGAACCGAAACCAATGCATGGGAAATAAAAACTCGAAGTTGATTCATCTAATCATATTTTATCTACACTACAACATAATACAGTTATACTAAAATATATACATTAAACATCTTAATGGGTTCACCTCACGAGGTCGAAAGGGAAAAACCCTTTTTCTTTTCCTACTTCAATGACAGCCAACACCATCTGTACCTCGTACATCAAATGAAGAGATTTGTTTTTAATGTTTGTAAGATACTACTAATTAGTTTCACAACGTAGTTCATATTCATGTTTATTATGATCATTATGCTTATATTATGAGCATATGTATGAATATTTATAATAATATATTTGCAGTAACTGCTGAAATATAGATAAACTTCAAAAATGGTTATGTTAATGTTTTAACACAGATTAGTTTTCTAAGGAATAATATTTGGAATGGCATAAATAAAGTGAAATTAATTGAATTGTCAAAATATTTTTTTTTTTTTTTCTTCCAATGCATTATACAATACGGAAGTTGGGAGTTCTCCCCTTTCTCCACAAAATCTCGAATATTGAAACCATTACAGTTCGCAGCAAAGCAAGTGACAGACCCTTTTTTTTTTTTTTTTTTTGTCACTTTTTAACCTGGATTGAATATAGGACTAAGGTTCTGTGGTCTACCAACCAAAACGAAGAATATTTCTATTCTGGAAATTTAATGCAGTCTGTTCAAAGTTAGATTGAAAAACACCCCAGATTGGTAAATCTCTTTATTAATCAATATGAGTATGGGAGGGTTATCGCACGAAGCGCGACGTGTCCTGCACAGCGATAAATACGCCACATGGGCGCATGATGGTGAAAACCGGACGAAGCAAAGGGGCGTTTTCCTTTATTTAGTTATTTGTTCTCTGAATACCGGCAGCTGTTGATTCCGATTGCATAATATCATGTCCGGGGAAATTAAGGCGTACGTATTGTGCAATAACGCTTGCGATATTTCGCAGAGATAAGAACTTTTAGTCCTATATTCAATCCAGGTTAGAAAGTGACCCTCCCCCCCCCCAAAGAAAAAGTCTGTCGCTTGCTTTGCTGCGAACTGTAACAGTTTCAATATTCGAGTTTGCAGATATTCGGTAATTTCCGGGTATGCCAGTTAGTTATGCTTTTACTGTTAAACGATGACTGCATGAAGCAATTTCCCATCCTTTGATTTCAGAAAAGTTCCTTTTTTTACTTATTTTTACTTAAATTACTTTGCTTGCAATATCTGTTAAGGAAAAACTGTTGTACAATGAAAATTTAGAAAATGTTCAGTTATTTTGATTTAATTTAAATTATTTAAATATTAATGTGAGTGGAAAAAAAAATTGTATTTATTTTTAGGTGTCAAGCGAATATACTAAATATGGCTTATTATTATTTATTTTTTCTGTTTTGAACTGAAATTTCATTATTAAATATAATTTAATTCTGGATAGTTTTTTTTTCCTCTCATTGTAAACTAGTTCTGTAAATTGAACTGTTATTTAAAATTAAAAAAAAAAAAAGGTAATTGTTTTCCATGGTTGAGTAATGCTTATTCTTTCTTAATAAATACTGAATTTCTCATATCTTAAATTACAAGTCTTTTAAGATTATGCAGTTGTGTATAATGTAATTAGACAGGTGCTTATTATTATTTTTTTTCTTCTTAAAATCTGCTTGAAACGTGCTTATAGGTGCTTATTTTTTTAACTAAAATGTGGCTATGAGCCCTATCCTCTGATATTGTGTTAAACTATAATGATTAAAAGAATTTAAAGTAAAAATCTAAAGAGCCATGATTTATTCAATCTACAAAATTGAACAAACAGAGCAGGCATGACAAAATATTTTGAAGTCCTCAACTAAAGACATTCTTACTGATCTTTAATCTGATTACAGGGATCTTCACGCAATGAAGCTAATTAACTTACTGTTGAATGCCTATTTTATAACTGCTTCAGTGCACACTGACAATTAATTTGTTGTTTATGTTGTATGCTGTTAAATTTCTTGTAAAAGTATAATAAATATATTTGAATTCAGTGTAAAATACAAATTGGTAAAATTCTAACTTCTAACTTATCAGATCAGCTGTTTGCATAAACATTTTAAAAATATATAGCATTCTTTCATTATTTTTCAAACTTTTTATTAGAACGCATTCTTCGTTGTCATAGAAGTTTTCGTTTCAACTCCTATTTTTATTTTAAACATTATCACAATTCTTTTTGGAATTTTATATAATTTTTCCCCTTCTATACATATTTCATTTAATAATGTATCTTATTTAATGTTTATGTTTAAAAACATTGCAGCTAAGAAAGGATAGAAATTTTGAAACAAAACTGAAGAGATTGAAGCTATATAAAATGTTTCCTGGAGCAGACACAGTGGTTTTAGATGAAATATTTGAATGTAACAAGTAAGCTATTTGCTATTTTAGTTTGCTTGTCTTTTATTTTTATTAAATACTTTTAGGTTTCAAACAAAGTAATCCTAGAAGAATAAGAAGTACTTGAGGTCATGATTTTCTGTAAAAATAATATTTTTATTTTACGTTATATAGCAGTTAACATTAAAACTGCCCTTTCTTCAAAAAATGTAATTTTTAAGATATTTAACTGTGTGTTTTTTTTATCTGATGCAACTCTAATTCTAGCCATCTTACTTTAAGGTACTCTTTCTCTTTTATCTTCTAATTTATTTCTGCATTTTCTGCAGGCAGTTATCATTCATTCATACTGCATTTGCTTTATGTCATATACTTCATTTTAGAGATTTTATTTGCACTTAATTTCCTTACATTGTATGCTTTTAATTCATTTCACAATATCATAGAAATACAGGGTTAACCAAAAGTAATATTTTTTTTTTTCAAAATTAAACATTTAAAAAATTCTTAAAAGAAATTTGGGAAACTCTTTTAGACTATCCAGTGTATTGAAAAATCTTTTAAATAGTTGCATATTATTGTACACGTTATTGCTTATTTGTATTTTATAATGAAGATGCATCTTCTTTCCTTTGAAAATTACATATAGAATTCTTTATTAGGTGTTCTTTTTTTTTTTTTTTTTTTTTTTTTTTCGTTAAGAAAACTAATTTTTTTGAGTAAAAGGAAGTTATTTGTATTTTAAGAAGTTATTATTGAAAAATTACTTAAGTATGTGTTAAAAAATAATCTCTATTGCTTTATATGAAATATAGTTACTCACCAAACAGAATTTTTTTGTGTTTAAATATAGTAATTCTGCTGAAGTTATTTGTCATCTTAATCCATAAATATTCAATTACCAGTTAGAAAGTTATTGCTGTACTCTGATTTTCATGTTATAATTTTCATTGTGCAAATTTTACCATTATTATCATGCCACTGTTAGCTTTCCCCCTCCCCTCAGAAATGACGGCTTTTTCTTCATATTATCTCACTGAAGCTAATTACTGAGAACAGAAAAATATAATTTTTAAGTATTATATTGAGCACAGGTTTGGATTAGAAGTGAAAATGCAGGCAGCTCAGACTAGAAGTATAACTTGCAGTGAAAGATTTGATCAGTCAGAAAGCAGTCTAGATTTGCTCCTCCTTTCTGATCAAGAACTAATTTTTTTAGGAGCAGTTGCAATCAATAGAGATTTCTCCTTTGTGTGATTCCCCAAGCAGTTAAAAAAATTAATCTAAACATAACATTCTTTTGATTGATTATAAGAATTTAGGGCTCTATTCTTCTATATGCACTAAGATCACCAAATGTGGCGATATGTGTTCTACGCTGATTTTTGGCACGATTGCATGCTGTGTGATGGTTTTGGGGATGATGTTGTTTGTATGGCAATCCTTTTGACGTTGAAACTTAACTCTTTTGCTGCAGTAGTTTAATTGCTTGTTGGTTTGTGTCGTGCGTGTTTTGAATTGGCCGATGTTTCAATGAGAGATGAGGTGGCAAGATTTCAGTCGCGTATTTTAGATTGTGTGCAAAGTAAATTTAGTATTAAAAGTACAATTGTTAACGAGTCTTTTGTTCACGGGTGTGTTTATGCGGATCGAAGTGTATTTTTGGAATTTCTGTGGTAGTCAGGACTTTTAAAATGAAGTTTGGCGTGTCCGAAATGTGGAGCTGATATGGCAACTCAGACAAAGAATGATGTTTCTGATAGACTTGTGTAGGTTTGCAATCAAATGGTTGCTGGTAAAGCATGTGGCTGTCAGCAGAGTTTAAGATTTGGATCATGGTTTTCATGTAGTAAGTTAGCTTTAGAGGAAGTTTTTATCACTACTTTTGAAATTTTGAATCACAGAAAGACGTGTGATATAGCAAAATCATGGCACTTTTGTGCCCAGACGTGTGACTGGTGAAATTTTATTCACGAATGTATTATGGTAAGTGCATTTTATTTTATTGTTTTTATTTTGTAGAATGTTATGTTCATTGTTTTTTACTGTGAATTTCTGTTGTTATTGTTGTTTCTGAATTGTTTGTAATTTATTTTAGTGTATTTTGTCGATTTGTGCTCAATGCCTAGATTGTGCAATTTGTAGATGTTTTTTTAAGTTTAAACAGAATGCTGTGTACATGGTGTTCATTGAAATTTATTGTTTGTTTTGTTAATTTATTAAAGTGAGGTGTGCATAGTTCGTAGATTCCTTCGCTGCCTAGATTGTGAAATTCATAGATGTCTTTTTAAGTTAAAACATATCGCTGTGTACATGGATTCTTGTCAAATATTTTTGGTCAGAAACTACATTTTTGCTATCAATTTTTTTTTTTTTTTTTGTTGTTTTTGTTTCGGGGTTTTTGCTTAAATTGTGTGTTCAAAATGTGGTTTTCCCATGTGCAAAAACCACGTTTTTGGAGACATTTTAGACATTTTAGTTCGAAATGTAAACAAATTTAGATAGTAATATGGCACCGTGGAGTTATTTGGTGAGAAATTTGTTGCCAAGACAGGGCGTATATAAGAGTAGTTCCGAATTCAGTAGCTGTTTCTTTCTTTCCATTGATACAAATTTTACAAAAGTTTAATTTTCATGTTTTTCTCACCATCAATAAAATATTTCTGTAGTATTCCTTTAATTTATATTATTCAAACAAGGAGAATTTTGAGATTTCACTCTAAAATGCATGAGAATACATTCAGAAAATAGAAATTTATAAACTTATCCACTTCCCATTATTATTGATGATTTAAAGTACTTGGAGGCATATTTCATATTCATAAAAATCTTCCAACACTTGTTAATGATCTCAATTCTAATACCTGTTTCTTCTTAGTTTTTTTTTTTTTTTTTAGTCGCTTCTCATTCATTTTTGTCAACAGATAGTGGCAATGGTTTTGTTTTACTATTTTTTAGTTGGAACCTTGTCAGTGTTTTTACGTGTAGCATTTTTCTCTATAGTCATTTTCACTCCTATAGCTGAACAACAGGACTTATAAGAGAAGGGCTAGCTCATAGAGCTTTTTTCCCTGAAACAGGAAGTGAGAAGTGATGACGTTGTCATGTTGACTCTGAGTGCAGAGATGCAATTCACAACATAGAAATTAGCATTTTAAATTTGAAGAACCAGTGTTTAAAATGAACTGTGTGTGATAGATAGCTATAATTTGGAAGTAATAATACTTACTCAGTTTTAAAATAATAGATAAAATACACTACTTTTTTAACAAAAAGTTCTTTATTATTATTCCCCCCCTTTTTTAATGCGTGTTTTATTTATAATCATTTCTTTATCTGCATACGAACTGAGAGAATTCTACTACTGCTTCTAAGATACCTATAATAACAGATATTTTAAATTAATCAAAAGACAACCTTAGATTGACATAGTTTTAAACATATATGGGATATATAGCAAAATTTCTTCTAATCAAGGTTGACATTTTGCCTAGTTGTAAATTTTACATTGGCATATTTCTCTTCCGATTTAATATAATAATTGATATTTTTTAAATAATTTTGTAACATCTATATTACATTTAAGCAAATATGTGTAAGATTGTTATCTTAATTTTGACAAAACAGCTTTACTCAAAGTACCTTGAAAAAAAATATTTAATTTTTCAAAAGTGGGGATTAAGGAGGCAGGTCTTTTTCTGCTAATTACTTTGATGTTTAATACTATTATATTTTTTTTCTCTAGAATGCTAAGCTAGCACAAAATTGAATCAATAAGTAGTTTCAAAGGATACAATAAGAATAATTTTAACAAATACTTAACAAAATTAGCTTTCATTTGAAATATGCTTAATGCTATTAACTTCTAAAATGTCATCCAGAAATATTTCAAATCAAAACATATTATATTTAAATGCAAATGATATAAATGCTTACTTCCATAGTTGCACTGCAACGACAAGCTGTTTAAATACTGCTGCATTCGAAGCAATTCCCTTTTTTACCTTTTGAGTTGCTTTCCTTTGGAGAAAAACATGCATTTATGTTTAAGAAATGTATTCTAATAAACGTTCGCACTCTGCAAAATCAATGAATCGCATCTCTGTTAACTTCAAGATAATGTTTATCTAATTTAGTAATTAAAGAGCCAATACGTATTTCCCTTTATGGTCAGTTGTACCACAAAATATTTTTTCAAACTCGTAAACTGTGTTCATCTATGAATGAAAAGGTGCAGTCAAACCTCCTAAGGAAAATAATTTAATTCATTCTGAATGAAATATGGTTTCATCAGCATTATTTTTAGAAACTGTTTGTTCCCAATGATGGATCTTTGTTCTGCACATGGCAGGCAATATAACCTGCGACATATGTTAAGGCTTCTTTTTCTGTGTTCGAAAATTGTCTGGCGGAATTCAATTCCAATTCTTAAGCCATAGGAGAAGGCTCCTTTATGAAATTCAAATCATAAATAGTATTTAATGGAAAAGCAATCTTCCTCCTCAGTTTTCAAAGCCCTTTCAAGTAATTCTGATGTCAAATATGAGTCAATATTTGTGCTTTCTTTATCTATGCACTTTTTAAGATAATTTTGGTAGCTTATTTTCGAGTAATAATTGCTTTAAGCGGTGTATAACTTCATTAGGATGATCATTAAACCTACCAAGCCCTCGAATCTGATTAAAGAGACTTTCAAGTGCATGCTGAGTTAATCAAGAAGTTAAAATATATTTAGCATCATACAATGATTTCAAATCCTGCTGTAGGCCAAAAAGAGAATTTACTAAAATTATAGACAATATGTTAGATTTTCTCTGATGACTTTCTTCATTAATTCCAAAACATGAATTTGTTTCTCATGATGTTCACTTAATTCAAATGCTGCTTTAAGTATTTTATCTAAAGAAGGGTATGGCTTAGTACTATTCATAACATTGAAAAAATTTTCGATTAATTCAAGTCAGATGCTTTTTGATTTCCTTTGGGGGTGGAGTATCGGGGGGAATTTACTTTTGCAGTAGTTCTTGAAAATAATATTTTCACTGGAGCAACTTTTTGTCTCTCGTTTCCCTTGACCATTAAATGATTTGGTTTTAGTCTGTGATACAATTTGGATTTTTCCTAATCTCTATTTAAAATCTCTTTAATAATATCAACATTTAAAACAGTTCTATCTTCTAAAACAAATCCTTTATCTAAAAAGTTGTTTTTCAGTAATTTGAGGCAGTGCAGTAAATCTGCAGAAACCCATATTTTTTCATTTTTAGTACAGGATTTGGAAAGTGAAAACTATTAATCAAAATCTGTAGTTCTTTCCACAAAGTACTACATCCTTCTAAATAAGACACTATTGCTTTCATTTCTACTTTAGATGATTGAATATGTTTTATGAGTAAAAAAAAAGTTCTATCTCCATTGGAGTGTTAAAATAAAAAAATATATTTGTTGTTTCCACTGCGAAATGAAACCTCTGATTAAAACAAACTGCACTTTTAGAAAAGGAGCAAGAGTAATACCAGAGTTTGGTATCTATATGCATTTCGTTGAAACTGAGAAAGCATATTTTTCCTACAGAATTCAAATATTCACATCTTTCCTTCATTAGAGCAAGAAGATCATTCTGAATTCCTGGACTACATGAAAATTTAGCACCCATTCCTTTAATGTGCTAATACTAAATAAAGGAATTCCTATTTTTTCTTTCCAAAAATCATAGCTTTTAAATGACAATGCTCTTAGGACAATACAATATGAATTATCTTCTCTAGTCCACCTAATTTTTTTCCTTCTTTTCTAGCAATACATTAATCTGTGTCTTTGTAAAAATATGCTTTAGACGTTTTCCAAATTCTCCAGTCTGTGCTGTCTTTTTTCTAAATTTTGCTGTTTGAGATTTTAATTTCTGTATTCCTGATGCAAAATTTTTTGGATGTTGGCCACCTTTTTTTTTTTTTTTTTTTTGTCACTGAGGAAACATTCTAAAATTTTTCTATTCTCTATTTTTCAATATTTTAATACAATTTTCTAAGGATATTATTGTGTCCTTCAAATTATCAATGCGGTCTTGTTTATCTTTATACTTAGGGCATTCAGGGATGCCCTAGATTGTCATTACATTGTCACTTGTGAGTTTTATTTCAAAATCATTCACATTTGATTTATTATTATCATTATCAATTTCGTTTTCAGCTTCAAAATGAACTTCCTATGGGCTTCATTCGTGTAGTCTTTGAAAAGCACTCTCCACTAGTTTTCTTTTCTCTTGTCTCTGATTTCTTGGTGTTATTTTGTTTACTGCACACGATAAATTTATTTTTGCATAGCATTGCATTTCAACAGTTTCTTTTGGGGCAATCCAAGCAAGGGATTTTTCATATCATCTTCATAATCACTGCATAGAAAATGTTCGCTGCAAATTCTTGCATTCTTCACATTAACAGAATCCTGTCTTTGACATTTATTTATCTATTCTTTCATCAAAAGCAAATTTCCTTTGGGAAAGCATTAAATGAAATATTACGGCATGTTGCCACAATGCAAGAAGCCATATTGCATAAACGATGCTTTACAATACAGAATTTAAAAGGAAAACTAACAGAAACTATATATATACAAATTATTTTAAATATTTACATTATTAGAAAACAAATACATATGATTAAAATTAATGTGGGATATGTGACTTCCAGAAAATCACCTCACAGCTGAATGAAACTACAGTTTTAGATGTGCTAAATCAGAGCAGGTGCAATGTAGTGACATGAGATTACTTATGGTTGACTCCCCTCTATGAGGCTCGTGTCAACAAGGAGTTGAACAAAGGAATGAACTAGCCCTTTCTGTTTATCCCTGGCTGAACAAGGACATTCTATCTAACCTTTAAAACTATACTTCTGCAAATTTACACATGCACGAGAGATTTTCGTTGTTAATTTTTAGTGTCTTTGTTATCTATATATTTTTTTTATTACTATTTAATTAAAATATTAAATACTTCAATTTATAATATGGCAACAGTGGTTATTACTTTTAAACAAATGAAGATATAATTTTTTGAAGGGGCATAGTTTCTATTTTATGATGTTCTTAGTGTTTAGAAACTCTGATTTCTGTTATTTCATTTAATTTAAACATCATATGCTCATATGAATGAATATTCTTATTAATTAGGGAAGGGGATGAAGAGCTGTCACTCCCTCCCCCATTTCTTAATGGATGGATATACATACAAGCATTAAGTGCAATTTGAAGAATCAAATTGCAACCAGTTTGAGAAAATTAGATAACAGACTCTGAAAACTTAATATTTAAAAATTTCCATTGAATTTAATCTTGTTTCAAATATAACTCAGTTATTTCAATTAATTATTATGATACTTTAACTACTTGTATGTATATTTTAATTGTATCTTGTATATGAAAGTAAAAAACAGAATTCTCTTCAAATATTGCAAATTTTATAGATTCTGCATAGAAAAATTTTTCTTTGTTTTTTGCCGCAGAAGCTTGTTGTTAATGATTTTTCTTTATTTTTAGTTGTTGTTTAGAAGACTGTATTAAAGCTCTTGGTGAAGACTTTGGTGAACCAAAAAGTGCAAGACATAAAAAGGATTTAGAAAAAATTGAAACCTGTGTGACTGAATGGAATGAATCAAATATTTTTCAAGACTTTGTAAGCTTATATCTAGTTTCATGTTTTTAATCTAGTATTAGAAGTAAAATCTCAGTTTTCAAAATGCATGTTTTCCTTGTTGATATCTATTTGAAGAACTCCTTAATTTTAATATATATTTCTAATTACAGTTGTTCAGTTTTAAATTACTAATAAACTTGAAGATCATACATTTTTGCATAATTAACTGGAGTGTTTTTGCAGGGGCAAAAAGTATTTGCATTGTTTAAAGATTTATTTGTTTTAATTTAATGTTTAAAATTGATTACCAAAGGATCTGATTTTAATGAAATTTTACATCAAGATAGCCTCCTCCTGCACTCACTCTGAAGTGGAAAAAATATAATCATCCTCATAACATTTACAGAATTTTTACAACATATGTCTATTTAAAGATTTCATACTTGAGTATCTGAGAAACTTTGTACATACGTGTTGGTGTTTTTAAATGTGTTAATTCAAGGCAGACAGGCATGAATATATTCATCCTTTGTGTTTATCTTAACGTATTCATTTACTATGAATTCTTTGCTTACTTGTGGTAATTTTAATGCTTTTAAGTCCAGCTTAGGCTATTTTCCAATTTTGATTAACTTAGAACCTTCATCAACATAAAATTTTTCAATACAATTTTGAAGGTTAAATTCCAATTTGCTTAAACTAATCTAGAGACATTAGGGTTTTCAGAGTGAGATAGATACAAAATCAATTTGTATTTGATTGCTGATGAGATTGACACTTACACTGTGAGAGCTAATAATACAAGTGGGAAAACTCTGTAAAGTGTCTTTCATCTCGAGGTTTTTTTTACTCAACTTCTGTTGAAACATTAAATAGGGGAAATAAACAGGAGGGAGCATTATTTTTTTACTTTTTTTTTTCCAAAATTTTACTTTTTTTAATTATAAATATTTTCAGACAAAACTGGTATGTTAATTCTTTTCTTAGGAAAATAATGATTGGAGTGACTGGGTTTATCATGAAAATAATGTTGAAACTGTGAAAGTAGCACCTTTTTCAACATTTGAGGAAACTATATCTGCTGAAGCAGCTCGTTTGCGAAAAATTGCTGCTGAGCAGTATGTGCTTCGTCAGGAATGTATAAAGAAAGCTCAAACTGCTTACTGTCGTGGCATGAAAGATGTTGCCTCCTTTTATGCACAGCAAGTAAGTATTCATATTATACTACAAGGAGTATATTTAGAATTTATAAAATTTGCAAAACTTAATTTTCTTGAAATTGATGCAATTTTTTAAAATTCTGTATTCAAAACTGCTATTTATTAAGATTCACCTTGTATGCATTTTGCAATGTTTGAGCTGCATGCGTATGCAATTGCACAAGGTAATTTAATTATAGAAGTTCTAATTTGAGACAGGATTTAATCTGAAATCAGGGTTATGTATATAGAATATCTTATATAGTATAATGTTGCTTATCATTTACAAATCCAATGCTCAGTTTTTTTTTTTTTTTTTTTTTTTTTTTTAAATTTCTGTGCTAATTGCTGTTTTGCACCAGATAATAGGCTAAAATAGAGACTTTTGCAGGAAATTGCTGGAAAATACTAAATATATTTGATTATATGTCAAACTATAATGTATAGTTTTACATAAGCAGAGTTTTAGGCATTTTGAACTTAGTGGATACAAGATCAAGAAAAAATACTCATTTGAATAATTTTTAGCTCGAACTGGCCATTAGACTCTAAACAGGATTTTGCATTGAATCAATATAAATGGCATATTTATTTTCAAATTGTTGCTACCAAGTATTATTGCCTTGTTTTATTTTTAAAGAAATTGAATAATAAAGAATCTGGTTAAATGTAATGAATGTTTTTTGCAGTATAAAAAGTGACTATACCTGGAGCCGTCAAATTTTGAATAATGTAGTTCTCCACCCAAATGGGCTCCTGGAAGCGCGAGATTTTAATTTGTTTAATTATCTTTTTAAATTTTAATACATTTTTATTAACAAACTCAATGAGCTGTGGCAACACTGTACAGAATATAAAATTTTATCGCCACTGCACAAGACTGTCTATCAAAAATTCTAAAGATATACTGTTTTAAAATATCTGGTGATTTTACTGAATTGAATTTTTATATGGCATAAATGCGAGGATCGTGATATTTAATAAATAAAGTTAAAACAGAAAACATTAATAATAAAAAGACAAAAACAATTTTTCTAGCCATCTTACTAAGAAAATGGAATGCTGAAAAAATTATTAAAATGTATGCCAATGCTGCATTTGAAATTCTAAATTTTGGTAAACTGAATAAAGAATTGTGATTTTGCTGTTGAATTGTGTATGGTGTAAGTGTGAAAAAAAATTATGCTTAATAATGAAGTTAAAAGGCAAAACAAATGGGTTAGCAGGAGTGAGTGTAACGGCAACTAAGTAGATTGTGATAAAGAGCTTAGCAAAAGCATAAAAAAACTTAACCCTTTTAGGTCACCATTAAATTCTGAAACCTTTCATTTCTCTCCAGCCTTATTGTGTGCTGTGCTAAAAATTAGCTACTAAAATTATTTCCCAAAATACAGTATGAAAAAATAGTATCATAATGCATTAGAGTTTTGATAATCTATGAATGGTTAATCTAATCAAATTGAAGTCATTTTAATTTATTATATAATGTATATATAATAAATTTGAAAAAATTTGAAAAGGTTCAAATTTTAGTGGCACCCAAAATGGTTTGTTAAGGTTTTTACGCTCTTGCTGAGTTCACATTCTACCAGTCTGTTGTTACATTCACTCCTACTAATCCCCACTTTTTTAATCATTTTAGCTTTATTCTTAAGCATCAGTTTCTTCACGCTTATGACATGTACAATTCAACAGCAAAATTACAAAAATTGTAAAAGCAGCACAGCAGTTTACATTTAAGAGTTCCCGAGGAAGCATTGAGAGCATTGGCATGCATCCCCCCCCCCCAGTTTATTATATCAGTGTTCAGTTTTCTCACTATGATTAAGATGGCTTTACAAAACTTTTTTTTAATCTTTTTATTTTTAAAATTTTATATGTTTACTTTATTAAATATCACATTCTTGGTGCTTACACTACATAAAATTCGATTCAACTGCAAAAGCACTAAATATTAAAAAATAGCATATCTTTAGAATTTCCAATTGGACAGTCTTTTGTGCTGGAGATAATTTTTTTTTTTTTCGTACAGTGTTGCCTTTACTCACCAGGAAATCGTTGATTTTTTTAATCAAAAATCCATTAAAGTTTTTCAAAATCCGGGCTTCCAGGTGCCCATGTTTAGGTTGAGGACTACATTATTCAAAATATGATGGCTCTAGGTAGGTACCCTTCCTTTTTCACTGTGCAAGAAACATGCATACATTCATTCAAATTCTTCATTATTTAGTTTCTTTAAATATAATACAGGGCAATAATGTTTGGTGGCAACAGTATGAAAAGTTATACAGTATAAAGTCCGTAATCCGGACTCATTGTGACTTCGGCGATTCCGGATTTATAGATCATCAATTTAAATCTGGTAAGATGGCATGTAGAAATTATACAATTAAAAATATGAAACCTTAATTTATGAAATAAAGAGCAATTATGATCTAAAGGGTATCAAAATTTACAGAAAAAAAAAAACTTAATATTTATTTGTTTGCTTTATTAAACATTTCTTTCAATGTAAGTTGTTTAAGTTGCTTCATTTTTTGTGCTAAACGAGCATGCGTAAACATTAAACGCGCATGCGTAAAGCATACAAAAAAAAAAGTTTGTGGCTTTGAGGTCCGGATTATAGACTTTGTACTGTACAACACGTTTAAGTATTTTGACACAAAATGTCGTTTACAGATTAATATCTTATACAGGGCTAATAATATACGCATAAATACGTTAAGTATTTATATATAATATACGCATATTTATTAATTATAATTTAATGATTGCATAACAGTTTCAAAATACTTTTTTTTAATTTGAAATGCTATAAATGGAAAAGTAAAAAATAAATAGCAACACTGAATAAATTTCTTGATGCAATTCTGTAACTTCCAACTTTTATAACAAAATTTGATATTTTTGCTGCAGCTGACCAACTGTGTATTTGCTATTGATTATTGCATTTTAATACACACCTTAGGATAATGTCTGTGCAAAAAGGAATGGCTATCGATGTTCTCTTTGTATGTTATGATAGGAATAAAAGCTGTAGACAGGTGGGAATTAGGGTTGCTTTAATCAAGAGTATGAAAAGTCCTTTCAAATTTGAACTGCTTGTTATTCTGTTCAGAATGAAATGCCAGCATTAGTGGATATGATAGGTATGGTGTATAATGATTTAATTAACATTTGAATATGCCACGGACATTTTTAAAATTCATCTATGGTACACATGTTAAAAGAATAACCTACAATTCTGTTACAGAAAATATATAGGGTGTTTTGCTTCCTTCTTAAAGTATGTTTTTTATGATTCTGGTTTGTTCTTAAAGGCTGAAGACAGCTTTGAATTAATTGTTCTTCCTATAAATTGCAAGAGAAAATAATTAGTTCATTGCTCGTCATGAACTTTTGAATTCTGAAAGAGAACCTTTGGGAGTTTTTGCATCCAGTAATCAGTATCTTAATTTGCTGTATAAGAATCTAAACATTTTCTTACTCAAATTAAGCTGTTGTGATAGTCAAAACTCAAGTTTTGCCCATAATCACAAATTAAATTTTGTATCTTCCTTTGCTTAAGTTTTTCTCGCATTAACTCAAAGTGTAGATCAAATTAATCTATGAAAGATTACTGTGTGGCTTACTCAGAGTACGTGTTTTTTGAGGAGCAAGCCTGAGAGGGAATCGGTAATAAACACCATTTCATTTAAATAAATGTTGATATTTTTCTTACTCCTAAAAGACAAAGCACTGCAATCTAGAATTTTTAACTAGTTTGGTTTATGATTTAGAGCCCAACTTCTGTTATCATCAAATTATTGTGTAAAAGCAAAAATCATGTATCAAAAGTTGTTAATTTTGATATCAGTTGCAGAGTTGCCAATTCTTCCAATTTAGGCTGGAGACTCCATTTTAGATTTTCGCCAACCCGATTTACAATATATTTCTCCAGACTTTTTCTTATTCTTAAAATTTCTCATGATTTTTATGGAACTTGGCTTAATACTTTGTTATGTGAACAAAAAAAAAAGTGATTTTGGACATCTGAAAGCAATTGAATTTTCTCTAGATTAAATCTAAAACAAAACCTTGCGAGTCAGATAATTTCTGCTTTGTGAGTGAGAGCATGTACGTATCCAGAAACGTATTATATTGGCATATATTAGCCAATAAGGACAAAGCAAGCTGTTATTTGGATGTTATTTTGTTCATTTTGTCCTGAGTTGGGCGAGTACACGTGCCTTCACGAAATAGTTTTAGAAATTATCATCTTTTGTTATGTCTGTGAGAAAGGTGAAATACTCATGTATGTTTCAAAAATCGTACACAGTTGACTTTCCTTCCATTATTTCCTCAAGGAAATGTAATATATTTGCAATGTGTACCGCATGTCGTTGCGATTTTTCAATTTTGCATGGTGGAAGGGCGGATGTTTTCAAACATGTGCGTACACAAAAACACAAGGACAACATGAGTTGTTTTGAAAAAATGAAAAATTAAATTTTTCTTCGGAAACAAAGGACCAAAAAGAGAATAGACATTCGGAAACATAGGACCAAAAGTTATTAATGCAGAATGTCTATTCTCTGCCTTTTTACTGGAGCACAACCTGCCACTGAATGCATCAGATCACGCTGCAGCTTTATTTAGAAAAGTGTTTCCCCGATAGTAAAATCGCTAAAAAATACTCAAGTGCAAGGACCAAAACAGGTGCAATTGTTAAAGAAATGGGTTTGAAAAATAAATCTTCAGTTATTGATTGCATTAAAACAGTTCCGTTCTGCCTCTCTACGGATAGAAGCAATAATACTGATTCAAAACTGTATCCAATTGTTGTTTCTTTTTTTAATCCAGAGTCTTCAGAAATTGAGTGCAGTTTACTTTCTGTCCCCACTTTAGAAGGACATTCGACAGGCTTTAATATAGCACAGCTAATTATTAAAACTTTAAAGAAGAAAATGCAGTCCCTCTGGATAATTGCTTAGCACTTGGTGCTGATAATGCACCAGTAATGGTAGGCATGAAGACTGGTGTTGCAGGCATCTTAAGAAAGGAAAATTCAGATTTGCAGATTATGAGGTGCACCTGTTACCTCTTAAATTTAGCAGCTGAAAAAAGGGCAGTTTCTTTACCGCTAAATGTGGATGAACACATTGTTGATATTTATTATTAGGAGTTCTAAAAGGAAGGAAAAATTGAAACAGTTCCAAGAGCTGCATAACAGCAGTTTACAATTAGAAAACTTGGATGAAGTTATAAAATCAGCTAGGATTGACACCCAGTGAAATTTAATTGGCAATCTAAAAGGTGCTGATGGGTTTTAAAATATAGTGAACTGTCTAGAATTATGTTGGCCATCTTGACATTTCCCCATAGTAATGCAGAGTGTGAGAGGATTTTCAGTGTTGTTGCAAAAACGAGGACTAAATTTTGATCTAATATTAGTGATGACACATTAGAAAAACTTTTATTAGCAAAAGCAAGCCTACTTGGCAATTGCTATGAACAAAATTATGAAGTTTCTTTCGTAAAGAAAGCAAAATCTACCACTGTTTATAACATTTGTACAAAAACTGATTAAAGTGTCTTTTTTTTTTTTTTTTTTTTTTTTTTTTTTTTTTTTTTTTTTTTGTTTGTTTGTTTGTTTGTTTTGTTTTCTTTAATGATGCAAGTAATAAAAATGTTTTTTATGTGTAAGGTATTTTTGTGTTGCTTGCATTTAAGAATGAGTTACTATTTAAAGTTAATTCATTATTAAAAACTATACTTTTTATCATTTAAAAAGTCTGTGAAAAATCTCTTGTGTAAGGTATTTTTGTGTTGCTTGCATTTAAGAATTAGTTACTATTTAAAGTTAATTCATTATTAAAAACTATACTTTTTATCATTTAAAAAGTCTTTTTAACATTGTGAAAAATCTCCTGATTTTTGAGTGTTATAGGTTGGCAAGTATGCAATTGTTTTTGAAATAATGTATACTTAATTATTTTATGTGATATAATAATGTATACTTATAATTTAAATAATGTATATTTATGATTCATATTACTTATTATATTTATGTGGATTAAACTGAGAAATACTGTTGCATAAATATTAAATCATTCTTAATCTGACCATGTCATATTGATCATTCTTAATCTGGCCCGTTGCTGAACAGTTTTAGTTTGTGTATATATAACACGTATTTTGAAAAGTAGTATTTTTACTTGATCTAAAGAATGCAAAATAATGTTTTGTAGGGTCAAAATCATGGATTCCAGTGCAAGCAAGCTAATAAGAAAGCATCTGAACTAATTGCTCAAGAAAGGTATTTTTATTAAACAAAACTGTGAAAAAATAAAATTAAGAAATATAAATTTTTTGTAATATCTTTTGTGACTTTCTTTAATCTGCATAAATAATATGAGGAAAAACATTGTTATGAGAATGTAACATGTTTATAAAGTATTTACCAAAGTGTTTAAATCATAATCAAATATAATGCAAGGTGTGGCTATTAATTTTCAGGACTGCCCTAACACCAGAACAGATAATGAGAAAAACTTAACCTTTTAATATGTTTCGAAGTAATTCCCATCAGCCATAACACACTTTTGTGCTCGGCTGTATAAGTTGCGGAAACAGTTTGTAAAGTCCTCTTTTGGAAGGCTCTTCAATGTTGACGTCATGTTCTTCTTGATGTCTTCAACATCCACATAGCGTGTTCCTTTGATCACAGTTTTGAGTTTTCAAAACAAAAAAAAAAAGTCTGCGGCGGGGACCTGAGTTCAGGAGAGTATGGTGGATGATACAGCTCCACGACCATCATGCTTGGCCAAAACACCAAAACATTGGCAACGCGATCATGGCTTTGCGGGATGTTAAAGTCATCAAGCAGAACGTGACGTTCGACATTGAAGAGCCTTCTGAAAGAGGACTTTAAAAGTTGTTTCCACAACTTATACAGTCGAGCACAGAAGTGTATTATGGCAGATGGGCATTACTTCGAAACATATTAAAAGGTTACATTTTTGACATCATCTGTTCTGGTGTTATTAGAGCAGTCCTGGAAATTAATAGCCACACCTTGTATTATATAATATTACTGCCTGTAAAAATTAAATTAGAACATAATTTTTATGGTACTTATTGTCCGTTATTTATGTGGAGTAAACTGATGAAAGATTATTATATAAATTTTAAAATCATTGCTAATCAGGTCTTCAGATATATTTTAGCACAAGAATCGGCAACCTTGTAGCCATGGTGTGCCAAACCAATCTACCAGTATGATTCAGGATGCCACACAGTAAGAAATATTTGAAACAATTTGATTCCCATAGCAGTGCATGCAGAGTTAGGGAACAGCTGTCCAGAATACAGATTTAGAGTTATATACTAATTATGCATCATTTAAAGATATTTATTAGCATAAAAATAAACAACAGGAAATGTGGCTATTCCTTCAACATAAATAAGTTAAAATTATACATATATTATGTAACTTTTAAACACATTTATTAAAATAAAAAGTAAACAACATAAAATATAAATACTCCTTCAATATAGTTGAATAAAAAAATAAAATTTTAATAATGTTAACCTTGTCCCTTCACCACTCTACTTAATGTCACAATATCGGGTATAATTTGTGACTTTCAATTTGACACGATTCTGAATGTTCGGTTATTAAACAGCTTTTTTATGGACTTAAAATACTTTTCATATGAGGAAGCGATTTGTTCACATAGATATGTAGAACTAAAAGTAGAAAGCAGAGCACATGCTTTTTTCTTCAAACGGCTATATCTCTTTGGCAGTGGCATCCAGCAATTTAAAATAACTGTCAATTTGTTGTTAGAGTTTTCTTCCATATCTTTTCATAATTTTGTAACTTGTACTTTCCATAATTCTGAAGAAGTTGGTTCAGTAAGTTCTATTTCAAAATTATCAACTTCCATTTAGTCACAAATTGACAAATCAAATGGGATTATTAATGAGTCCATTAAATCTGGTTTGATTAGGGAAAAAAATGTAGACATTTAAGCTGAAAATCTTTGTATATTTTGGAAAATTCCTCAAGTGCTTTGATGTAGGTTTTAAGTTCATCTTTGTTTGTGATCAGAGTACTTGCAAGCACTTGAACATTTGGGAAGTGTTTGTAGATACTAGTATTAATATCATGGGAAAATATGTTTAATTTTGTAGCTAAGCTTTTCCAATACTCAAAAATTTCAAGCACTGTTTGACCTTTTCCTTGCAATCCCAAGTTTAGTCCATTGAGATGTTTAGATCAGTAAGAAACATCAATTTGCATAATCATTCTTTATCTTTCAGTTCAGGGAAATGTTGTTCCTTCTCATTAAAAAAAAACTTTAATATGTTCCATGCATCACGCAGAATTATTCAAGGCATTACCTTGGCAAAGCCAAAGAACATGGCTGTGTAAGAGAAGGTCTACATATTAACTTTCCATTTCTTCTAAAAGAGATTTAAATTGCCTTTGTACCAATGAAGAACGAGACACTACGAATTTAACTATTTTAACAAGTGTTCATTACAGAAATAAAGCCCTGTGACGAAATTTTGGCAACTAAAATTCCCTGGCATATTATGCAATAGAAGTTCAACACTTTATATCCAATAAAATTTTCAAGAAGTTTGGCAAATTCTCTTTTCTTGCGAACCACTGCAAGAGTGCCATCAGTAGTTATACAAAATATTTTATTTATGTTAATGTTTTCACTTCCAAAATAATTTATAAATGAAGTATTGTCCCAGACAGAGAAATCAAGCTGTATAATTCTACATGAACTCAATCTTTGTTACAATATCATGCAATTATTGCAAAACATGCAACATCATTCACATCAGTATTTTCATCATGAGCAATGTAACAGTTTCTTGTAATCCTACATTTTGTTTTGTTTTTGCATTTTCTGCCATTTGAGTTTATTCATCTTTCAGTAATTCACACAGAAGCTGGTATTTATTGAATTTGGAATAATATTGTTTGTAGATTTGGTAAATTGCTGAACAATATTTCCACACTTTTTTTAAAAAGTGTTCTTTATATATTCACCATCTGTAAAAGATTTGCCTTTGGAAGCTACATAATGAGCAATTACGAAACTACATTTGGTCACTCTAGATTTGGTTCCAGTTGTTTGACAAAATAATAATAATAATAATAATAATCTAACTTGTATTTTATATCCAGTAACAACACTCTTTATATCTTGGCATTTCTCACTGGAATTCTGAAATATGGACTGACGTTTAGCTTTAGCATGACATGCATCGAACTAAATTCCAGTTTCGAGTGAAATCATATGATAGTCGTGTATTGCTGCAATGAACTGAAAGAAAGGGGAGAAAATAGGGAAGGTGGGATAGCGCAGAGAAGAGAGACAGGGCGATTTATCTTTATCTGATAACCTTGTAGAGTGCCACTGAGAATTATTGGGTTGGCAACTAAGTAATTGCGGATTTTTTTTAGAAAATCAAAGACAATTTTTTCATGGAACTAAATAACTTTATTCTGTAATGTATTGCCCATTTTGATCAATGACCTTTTGCCATCTTTCAGGCAGCATCATAATCCCACGTTCATAAAACATCTGGAGTTTGTTAGCAGAAAACTGAATCAGGTATGATTTGACATCATCATCATTATTGAAATTTTTACCATTCAAGGAGTTTTGTAAAGATCGAAACAAAAAGTAATCAGATGGTGCAAGGTCAGGACTATATGGTGGATGTGGCAAAACATCCCAACCAAGCTCTAATAATTTTTGCTGAGTGACCAAAGATGTGTGTGGCCTTGCATTGTCATGATGGAATACAACACCTTTTCGATTTGCCTATTCGGGCCGCTTTTCTTCAACTGCATTGTTTAATTTCGTTAGTTGTTCAATGTAGACATCAGGTTGATCCTTCGGTTGGGTGGTAAGAGTTCAAAGTTGACAATTCCTTTGTAATCCCACCAAACTAATAACAAAACCTTCTTTTGATGAATATCAGCTTTTGATGTTGTTTGAGTTGGTTTACCTGGCCTGCTCCGCGATCTTTTCCGCTTGATATTGTTGTAAACAACCCATTTTTCATCGCCAGTTATCAGTCATTTTAAAAATGGATCATTTTTATTACGTTTCTTTAGCAAATTGCAGCTGTTAATGCATTGCATTAAATGCGTTTCTTTCAGTTCGTGAGGAACCCATGTATCGAGTTTTTTAACATAGCCAAGTTGTTTTTAAGTGATTTTCAATGTATGTATGTGATACATGAAGCTTCTCTGCAATCTCATGTGTTGTACTGTGACGATCCGAATCGATTATTGCTTTGATTAGGTCATCATCAACTTCAACTGGACGACCAGAGCGTTTTTCATCTTTGAGCGAAAAATCCCCAGAACGAAATTTGGCAAACCAATTTTGACACTGCCTTTCTTTTAAGGCTTCGTCACCATAAACAGCACATAACTTTTTATGAGCTTGCAATGCGTTTTTCCCTTTGCGGAAATAAAAAAGCAAAATGTTCCTTTTGATTTTCCATTTTTCAACGAACGCCAAACGAAAACTTCGCAACCGATCATAAAACTTTTTTTACTGATTGACAGCTGAATTGCCAACTATCAAATAACAAAATGTGTTTTACATTTGTATTACGTCTGCAACCCTAAAAATTCAACTGAAGCCATCTATGAGTGAAATCCGCAATTACTTATTTGCCAACCCAATATAATGCATGTGAAAGGTTGCTGAAAACTGTTTTAACATCTTAAAAAAATATTCCAGTACAGAAAAATTATGTATTGATATCTAAAAATTTGTTTTAAGATTGGATTTATAATTGAAAAGTTATTCATACTGTGTATTTATGTTTTTTTTTTCTTTTAATATAATATTTAGATTTGTGATTTTGCAGAAATATTTGTAGTCCTCGTTTTGTATTGGACTTGCATGGTTTGTATATTCAAGAGGCAATACCAACCTTAGAAAAATTTCTAAGGGATCGAAAATTAGAATTAAGAAGACACCAGCAAGTAGCACCTCAAACTGTTTCTATAGTTACTGGGCAAGGACTTCATAGCATACAGGGACCAAAACTTCGCCCTTCAGTCATGGAATATTTGAAAAAGACTGGCTATGGGTCTGTATTTCATGCTTCTTATACAGAAATTAAATTCATAAATGTTATCAAATGCTTCAACGTGTTTTTAGGAACTACTCTTAAAAGTAAATGACTGAAAGTATTTAATGTGCCCAAGGTTATTTATTATTAATTAATTAATGTGCCATGTATATTTAACACGTTGACTACCACAGCACTTATCAGATTCTGCTCCGAGAAGCCAAATCGATTTAATCATATTATATTATTAAAAATACTAATTATGATTCGTAACAATCATTAAAAAGTTTACATGATTTTTGTTGTTGTTGTTGAAAAAAGGTTCTAACGAATTATCTTGTACTCAGTTTTTGTTAGACAAAACTCTTCACAGAAGCCCACTACGAGTTGATTCATACAGGCATGCTTCAACTTGTCGCCTGGGTACAGCTAAGCGCTAAGCCAGTAAGTAACTCATAGTGGAGCAAAAGCGGCAAGTCAAGAATCTATGAGATAACTCGTATTGGGCATCCTGAAGAAGAGTGCTAATATGAGTTATCTCGTGTTGGGCAGTCAATGTGTAAAATTTTAGACCTAGGGTTACCTAAAAAGAGGGTGAAAATGCATTTAGCCTATAAAATTAAATGTATTTTACTGAATTTTTTTAGTTAACCTTAGAGCTAATTGTTTTTGCAACAAAATTAAAATTTTCTAGACATTTTTCCAATTAATTGTAATAGATATTTATGTGAAAAAGAAAATGAATTGTAATTACTTTCTTTTAACTGAAATAATACAAAGTCCAAACATAAATTAATCCAAATGCAAAAGATTACAAATTTTTGAAAATTCAGAAAATTTGACTGATTAAAATAGTATAAATTATTCCATATGCAGAATTTGGGTGGGAGGAGAATTATTTGAAACTCTGTTTATTCAGAAATGTCACAGTGAAATTACTAGTGACTGGAAGGGATCTAACCCAATGGGTAAGAAATGAAGTCATGTATTTTTTATGACAACAGCGCAGAAATAAAATTCTTAAACTAATTTCCAGCTTACTTTTGCTAGCATATTGTTAATACTTTGCCATGATCTGAGATACTATGTGTAGAGTGTTTGTAATGTAAGTCAGTAATCTGGATCAGTAATAAGAAATTAATTTTAATAGAGGTTTTACTGTATATTTACTTACATTATATTTTTTTCTGTAAAAATTTGGAAGGGTCATGTTTTTAATAAAGTATTTTGATAAATAAATTTGGAAAATGAAAGAAAGAAGTTTCGTCATACTTTATGGTATAATTATGCAATTTATATACCGAATAAACTGTACAGTTAGTAATTATCATAGATATCAATTGCATATCTGTCGCTTATTTTAATGCTACATTCAGCTGAATGATTTCATTCACCTGCATCTACAATTTCAGTCATGTATGTATGTTTTTCTCATTCTGAAAAACCAATGGTACCTAGGAACATCAAATTTTAAATAATGTAGTCCTTCAATCAAACAGGTGCACCTGGAAGCTCAAATTTTAAAATTTGAATTTTAGCTTTTTTATTTTATAAAACTTTAATGAATTTTTGATTAACAAACTCAGTGATTTGAAAGTGAGTTGTGGTAACACTGTATGGAATAAAAACATTTTTATCTCCATCGCATAAGACTATATATCGAAAATTCTAAGGATATACTATTTTTAAATATTTTGTGATTTTGCTGTTGAATTAAATTTTGTGTTATGCAAATGTGATGAACATGATATTTAATGAATAAAATTAACACACAAAATGTTAATTTTAAAAAGACTGAAAAAAAATGTTTTGCAAGCCATCTTACTAAGAAAACTAAACACTAATATGATATTAAGGAAAAAACTGTATAAAAAATAAAAATGTGTATGCCAAAACTTAACACTCCATCAGGAATTCTAACATATGCTGCTTTTAAAATTTTTGTAATTTTGCTGTTGAATTGCATATGGTGTGAATGTGAAGAAATTATGGTTAATAATAAAGCTAAAAAGACAAAAAGAAATAGTTTTTCAGGAGCGATTGAAATAACAGATTGTTAAACTGTGAGCTCAACGAGAGCATAAAATTCCTTTTTGGGAGATCATCAAAATCTGAACCCTCTCAGAGTTTTTTTCAATAATTATTTTATTAATATTTGCTTCGGTTCTCTTTCTTCTTGGAAGGTTTTAAACATTTCAAAACATTGCAGTTTGTTTAGTTAAATCCTTATGAAATGTCTGCTGTAGTGGAATATAAAAGAAGAATATGAGGGAATACAAAAACAGGTTCAAGTTAAATACAATCTTTAAATATGAACTCTTTTGTGAATTTGAATAAGCCTTTGTTTTGTGGCAGCTATACAGCTTCATATCCAGGTTTAATATTATGGATTTATCATACTAAAAGTGAGTTTGATAAGAGTGCTGGGAGATAATTCAACATAATTTACTAGCTCGTACGTTTTGGTAGTGACAGTAAAGTTTTGATCTTAAAGATAGGCTTCGTGCGAATATGGGCATCTGAAAGACCAAATTTGCAATGTATTTTATTATCAATTTCATATTTTATATAATTTTAATGAATTTTTGATTAACAAACTCAACAATTTAAAAGCGAGCAATGGCAACACTCTACAGGGGGGGAACCTTTTTATCTCGAGTGCATGGAACTGTGTATCAGAAATTCTAAAGATATACTCATTTTAAAATTATTTTGCAACATTGCAGTTGAACTGAATTTTATGGTTTAAGTGCAAAGAACATGATATTTAATAAATAAAGGTAACACACAAAATGTTAAAAAAAATGCCCCTTTGGACAGAATTTAAAATCTAAAACTTTTCAGATTTTTTTATTATTGTTAGTTGTTTATTTGTTTTAAATCTTGTACTGTATGTATGTTTTTATTAACTAAACTAATTTTGCATGAATTTCTGTACTTTTAGATTTTCAGAAGTTAACCAAGGAGTATTAGAAGTCACTTTAAACCTCGATTAAATGTTGACAATATTCAGACTTTATATTTAAAAAGATTTTATCAAGACTTTTTTTTTTTTTGGTTGCACTTATGTTCCTGTATTTTTTGTTATATAATAACTGCAGACCTGCCAACTTTTATTTTTTATCTATTTTATTTTTTAAAATCATTTTTTCACTAAAAGACCTTTTTTTTAGTGTACATATAATGGCTAATAATCGTAGAAAGGGAGCCGTAATTAGTTTATTCTTTAATAAGTTAAATTCGAATGTAATAAATTCACTCTCACTGATTCACAGCATTTGTGTCATCCACCATCTGTGTTGGTAAATGTAATTTCATGGCTTGCAAAAGATGACTTATTTTGCATTGAAATATTCCACGTCACACATTTCTTAGTGCTCTGTAGTTTAAGTTCATAATTGTCATGAGCACATAAAGAATATTCCCACTTGCGAAAGCTGTTGGGGACAGACAGTGTAGGATAACCAGTCACAGAAGGATGAGATGGCAGATGCTTGATTTGTATATAAGCCCTCTGTGTATTTCCATCTAAATTGTTCATATGCACTGTTTATGTTTTATGGTCATTTCTAATCAAGAAATGATCTCATAATAATAGTAATTTTACATTTTATGTAGTGAACAGAGGGGGAACTCATAAAAGATTTTAATATTTCTTATATGGAAAAGCACTTGAGGCTGTCTACTTAATATATCTTGATTAAAAACATTACAAATATTTTTTCAGATTAATATGCATTTTGTCATTTCAGTAAGAAACTGGTGTTGTTTGTTATCTCATCTAGTTTGCACACATTTGGAGCATAAAGTTTTTAACTTTTATGCTAAAAATTTTATGAAATTAATAGTTTAACAGTTTAATTACGCTAGTTGCTGCTTATAATGGAAATACACTTTCATATCTAAAATATTATTGTTAATAAAAACTATATTTAAATCATTATAGCAGTTTGCATTCATGTTTGATGCATGGGATCTCCCAGAATAAAGATTATTTTTATCATTTTCCAGAGTACAGAACAAATTTTTATTAAACGTATTAATAATGCTTCTATTGGTATTTTGTAATTATATTAAATATGTTCTGTAATTCTCTTCCAGTCCATTAAATCATATGTGCAATAAAGTGAAACTGAAGCATCATTCATTACATTTGGGAAAAAAAAAAAAAAAAAAGTTATTGATATGCTGTGCACAGAGAATCATTAGAAAGTATTATCTTTAGATTGTTTAAATGTAAAAATGATTTGATATAATTGTTTGTTAGGAAAATAATTATTGTCATTTTCAGTTTTATCTTCCTAAATTAAGAAATACCTTTATGGAGTATTAAATAATTATATGCATTGTATGTATCAAATGTATTTCTTTAAACAGTCCAGATTCTTTTTATAATGTAATGTTTAAATTTATTCTGTTTTTATTATTAAAATCATGACTTTTTATACTTCAATACATTTATTATATAATACTTTTCACATATGTAATTTTATTACTTTGTACCTTTTATGATTTATTTTATTTTTAAAGTTGGCAGGTCTGTGCTGCATTTGATGTAGTCTTGTATGAATTCTGTCCTTTGATTTTTATGAATTGCAGTGAAATTAATAAATATTTTTCTGCGAGTGAATTGCCTAAAGGAAAAGCATCAACTTGTGCTATTTTGCTTAGAAACTGTTGAATTATTAATTACCTTTATATGCCTTATTAATATGTACCTGAAGCTCTGATACATGTGTCATTATACTCAGTTAATACTGCATATGCAATAGAAATGAATATTAATTAGTAAAAGAATCTTTTATTACTTATTTTAATTAATAAAATTAGTGCAGTCATTAATTTAATAAAAGTGAAGTGTTTAAAGCTATTGATATTAAATTGTATTTTAATATTATTTTTGATAATTGTATTATTACCCTTGGTAAATATCTCTTTGTTTTACTTATAGATACATGAATAATCACTCTTTGTTTTACTTATAGATACATGAATAATCACTCTTTGTTTTACTTATAGATACATGAATAATTAGCTCATGTAATAAAAATAATCTTTTTATGAAAAATAATGCATGTATGCATGAAAGTCTTAGCCTAAGTCAAGAATGTCTTGTGTATTAAATATTTCTGTTCAAACCTTGTTTAGCTAGTACAAATCAGTAAATCCCTCTTTTTTTTTTTTTTTTTTTTTTTTTTTTTCTATTTAGGCATACATGCACTTAAGTCACCTTCATTTCTGCCTTCTTAAAACAGAGCCACATATTAATTTATTAATTAAAAAATAAAAGGAAGAAAAAAAATAATTTTACACTCCCCCTCCTTTTTTTTCTTTTGGCCCCCCTTGTAGATTTTTATGCTTATTAGCAGTTACTACACTTTTAATAATTTTTAGAATAAAATAGGAAATACCTTTGAGATTAATAATTTTGTTTATTTAACTGTTCCCAAACATTTCTGGTTTGCAAAATGTTTGGTTTTTGAGAATTTCTGCATGACATCCAAAATCAGAATGTAGGTTTACTTAACATTCATTGTACATAGTATATGTGGTTGGTTAACTTTAGTGTGGTAGTTCAGTGTTGGTTAACTTTAAATGAACATTATATTTTGAATTCAAAAACAATTTATATAACATTACCAAATAAGGGCACATATCAAACAATGATATTATTGTATGAATGAATTGCAATAAATGTGGATGCTGAACCTTTTTTTCCATCTCATGTATTTGAATCCTTGAAATCAACTTGTTATGTACCAGCTCATTTTTTGTTCCTCAGTGATTATTCTTTCAGTATAAATTTTTTATAACAGTGATAGCCAACAGTTTGTCACAAATTGCTGTCGTACATGAGCTATTTATTTTTAATGGTATCCAAAAGTCAGTTATTTCCCTTCTTTCAAATTTTATCTTCAATATATTGTCACAAGACAGCTACTCAACAAGATTTTTCTTTTAGAGAAATAAAATCAGATGCATCTTTGGCTATGAAAAATCCTTGAATTCCTTTGAATTTGTTAACTGTGAAAGTCAGGTGATAAGTTTGTGGGAACTCTTTAGAAAAGTGAATTATGCAATCGCAATGTCTTATTGTAGCACCAGTTTATGAAGGATTTGATTCTAAAACCTTATGGGGTGAGTATCGTTTTCAAGTATTGGAATCTGGTGCTTCTTTAAATCATCTGCACTACATGATGCTGCTGTACACAGTTTGGAAATCACTTTTAATATATCTCTTTTTAATACTGTTTCAAATAGCATTAATTGCATAAAGTTTATGAATTGCTTTTTTATTTTGGATTTTATTAATGTTCATGTCATTTGGCCCATATATTAAATGATATAAGCACATATTGCTTCATTTTCATATATTCATTCTTTTATATATAAAATATGGATTGATTTTTTATGCTTTTTAAATTTGCATTGAGATGTACATATATTCATGAAGAATGTGAAGCTTTTTAATATGCATACTTTTAAGAAGCATTTACATTTTTGTAAATGTTAAAGCTAGTGTATTTTTAAGAAAGATTGAGCAATTAGTAGTAAATACGAAGAGTTAGGCAAAATCACATGTAATGTTTTAAAGCTAGTTTGAGCTATTTCAGATTCATTTTTGTTGGGTTGCTTTAATTGTTTTAGATATGTTGTTGAGAAAATATGATAATCAAAAGTTTTATATATAATTACAATCTTACCTATTTTAATGCTAATTAAAAAATTAGTATTAAATATCTAGATAAATGGTATATTTATTAATGATATTTTAAATTATATGTTCTTATTTACTAATGAAAATTAATTATTTTGAAATTAAACAGAAAAATTAATTATTTTGAAATTAACCAGCTGCTAATGCTGTATGTTTTCAAAGGGGTTATAAAATGTACAGTTGGTCTTTTTTTTTATGGTGATACTGCTATAAAAATTCCTCCAGCCATTCTATGGAATATATACTGCACTAAATTAATTCAAGAAATTGAAACGGAATCTGCTTTCTTGCTAAACACTAAACCAAGAACAGAGTGCAGTGTCAAATTGCTATAAATAGTTGAAATATTGTACACTTTGTAGTAAACATTATAAGCAACCCCTTCTGTAACATTTATGCTTAACTGAGAACTATTAAAAATCTCTCCAGGTATATTAGTGCATACTGTAAACAAAATACTGAACAGGGGTGAAAAGAACTTGGTATACAATCAAATGCAAATACCTAGAACTATAAATGTAAAGCAAATTTAAGGCAAACTCATAAATGTGATATAGAATTATTTGTAATTCTGGCAATCAATATAGAATTTTTCTTATGGTTTTGTATGTTAGTGTTTATTTTGATTAGACATTATTTCATAAAAAATAACTATTTATAAAACTATTTTTATATATGATGAAACTAGAATAATAGTATGTTTTTTTTTTTTTTTTTTTGTTTGTTTGTTTGTTTTTTGTTTTGTTTTGTTTTTGTGGGGAGAGGTAATTGTTTGTGAATTCTCACTGATTATTCTTGAAATTGTTAAATTTCAAGCCTACTCGCACTAAGTTTTCTGCCTGTTCATTTATTTGATAGGTATTTAATCAAAAGTGTATTTTCCATTCACTTCATATTTAACTTTTCATTTTTCTGATATTTATGTTTAATATAGAGCAAAATCATAAATTAAAAATGGCTTAAAAATATTTTATTATTTATTGAAAAATCAGTTTACTTTGTAAGAACTGTTGATCCATGTCTTAAAGTGTACTGAAGATATTGGTGATCTTTCTTGATATCAAACTAAAACAAAAGCTACATGTTTTCACTTGCACACATCTGCAAAATTCATGGTTGTGTAAACTTTTTTTATATATACACCATGTTGTCCACAAAATTCCTTATGAGTCTTTGTTTTTACATTAGCTAATGACAGATATGTACTTCCAATTTAAAAAAAGAAAAAAAAAAAAAAAGAAGAAAGAAAGAAAGAAAAATGATGCAATTACAGTTGACATTTTTTTTTATTTAAAATATCTATCTAGTAAGAATTACAAAATCTAACTTCTTTTATGGTCACCTCTCCCTTTCTTTATATTTAGTAAAACTTAATACTTATTATTGGAAAATTTTAAAAAATGAGCAGGGTTCTTTAATTTCAGAATTTTAGAGTTTGATGTCATTTTTGGCTTGTTTCTAAAAACTGGTTAAAAAATTAGAATAAATCAAATTTTATTTTTTACCCCATTTGATGTCATCCAGTGATATTCTTTTGTGATCTACTGGTGTGTAACTTTCCTTAATTTACAGTTTTCTTACAAAGAAGGAATTTTCAAAAAGTAATTTATGATTTTTTTCAAATAATAAAACTATGTTATTAATACTTCTGTGCAGTTTTAGTATAAAATTGTGATACTCATGCAGAAAATTCATTAAATTTGAAATATTTTTCATTTTTAGTTTATGTAAATAATTTTTTATGAGCTGGCAGTATGTTAATACTAAAAGCATTCTGTGAATAAAATCTTTTTTGGTAGGGGGTAGGAAAGGTGAATTATATTGCTCAATACTTTTTCACATCAGTCTCTGTAGTAATCCTCATTACTTAATTTATTAATATCAGAAATTTTTTTCTAAGCTGATAATTCGTTTTTAATTATGTACTTTTTCAAACGTTTTATTGTGCACTTTGTGTACATCTCTTAAGTGTGATATGAAACTTTTAAAAATAAATAACTTCGTCAATTTTTATCTTACAGGAATGAAACTTTTTATGTTTTATTTTCTATGCATTCATTAACTGTAAAAATAGGAACCGGGTACTAAATGAAAAGTTAAATTTTGTAATTTGTATAAGACTGATTTTTTAATTTAAAAGTTCCAAAACATGAATATGTGCATCATTTAAAACATTTTTGAAGCTGGAAATATTATAAGTCTATTACCAATGATTGCAAAAATAAAAGCCATATAAAGACTTTTATGGATACAGTGTATGCTTTTGTTTTCAGGCGAATTTAAAATTCAAAGATAACCTCCATATTAGTTTCATCACATATGATTTTTTATCATTTACCTTAAATTTTATATGCAGTTAATATTATATGAAACCTATTTTATGACCAGTTTCAAATACATTTATTTGCAAAAACTGTAAAACTTGCTTATTTATGTCTTAAAATTCTCAAAACATTTACCAGCCATTTTTTCCCATTGTTAATGAACTTATAAATGTTTCTTTTTCTTTTGTGCATTATTATGAGATTTTCGTGGTGTTGCAGCTTGTTGCTACAATGCAGTATTATATTCTGATATACTTCTTTTCTATCTATTTAAGGTTTTTGATATGATATTAATATTCTCTTTTGATTCATTTATTGTAGTTGTACTTCTTATGGAAAAATTTAAATGTACATTCAAGTATAGCACCTTAAAGCTTTAAATTTTGTAGTGTATTTTGTAAAAGATAAGCACTATTTAAGATCCATGTCATTCTTGAAGACTTTATCGCCTACAATTTTCTTTAATCATTATAGGTATATTTTCTTCCTTAAGAAAGATTTATCTTTTATTTTGATTTCTTATAGATTAGGAAACTTTCTGCAGAGGCATTTAAAGCACTCTACCTTCCTTGAAAAGTTTTTGAGCTTTTTTCTTTTGAAATGGTAGTTTTCATGTCCATTACGGCTACTTTTGTATGAAGAAGTAGCAATTTTTTCCCCCCTGCAACTGTAAAAAAATTCTTGCAGAATTACTCTTACCTCCAGCTTCTAAAGATTTTTATTATTTTTTAAATTGGTGCTTTTGCTCATAGCAGCGAATCTTTGCTATATTGTTCAGTTTCCAAAACGAACAAGTGATATTGTATCTTCTCTATTGCCCCAAAAGCATACTTAATACCTTAAACTGTGAGTAACAACCCCATTTGGGGTCACTAAAACTTTCAGTGGGATTACAGAGTGGATAAAAATCGTAAAATATCTGAATTGATGATATATAACTAAAAATCGATGCTCTGATTAGGGTCGCAATTTTTTTTGGGGGGGGAGGGTCGTTTGCATTTTTATGGATTCATAGTGCCATAAAGTTTGAAAACCACCGATTTAAAGTGTTCAGTCATCGCCATTGCATTTTATCTTGTTGAAAATAATACTGTATTGTAACTTCAATGTACACAACAGGTTTATTCCAGACATAAAAAATTAGCATTTAAATTTCATATTTTTTAAAAGACCATTTATGAATAGATATCATTGCAACAAATTAAATTACCATTTTGTGAAAAATAAATAGATAACAAACACTTCTCTGCTTCTTTGGAATCTGTTATCTAAATCTGGTATTATCATATAGTTCAGATAAAATGTACAGCTGGCTGATTTTGACTTCTTATGTCTCTGAAATTTTTCGTGCTCAATATTTAAACCAGAATTGTTATGAAGCTGGAATTTTCTAAGTCTTAGCAATAGATCATATAGCTTTTGGATAAAAAATGAAATAAGGCTGTATGTAAGTATCACTAAAGCGAAAATAGTAGTTACTATTTTCCTTTTTGTTCTTTCCTCGTTATTGGTGCATGGAATCTGAATACTTACTTTTTTGGTATTAGATTGCTTCTCAGATTATTTATATAAATGAAATCTACTCATGTGCCACTCAATATTTGTCTTGACTTCTTAGTTTCGGTCTCATTTAGAAAAAGCATACATTTGTAACAAAAGGTTTGTGTGTAATTAGTTATAAAATTCATTGTTCCTCACCTGAATTTGGCATACAGGTGGGCATGATGAACAGCTAAACTATCAAAGAAAGTTTTTGCATCCTAAGATATGACTGTAGAATAGCTACTGTGTAGTTTTAGTGAACAGCTGAATAATTTTTGTGTGACTCAGAAATGCTGAATGATTTTGGTGATATAAATGTGTATTGAAATTACTGAAACCTAAAGTTCATTTATAAATAACTCATAATTCCTGTTACTAAAGCCAAAACAAGGGCAGTTTTTTTCCATTTCTCATTCCCTTTTTTTAAGCTTATTTTTATTCCTTATATGTTTTTTAAGTACATTTTTATTCATTACAGTTTCTGATACATTTCTTAAAAAAATTATCATTTTTATCAGTTTTCTCTTACCTTGCCACCTGCAGAGTTACTGAGATTTGCATTTCTTTATATATTCTGTAGAAATATTAGGAGTAAATAAATAGTATACAGGCAGTTTTTTTTATGTCTTAGCATTTTCCATGCTATATTCATTGTGCATTGTAATTGAAGTTGCTATTCATAGAGTACTGAAGATTGAAAGTCAACAAGAATCAGGGTAATATTCATAAATTTGCAGGACTAGCTTCAAGGATTTAAATATAGATCCTTCTCCTTCAGATTGAGACGTTTAAGATAACAAGATGAGCCTGTACTCAGGCAACATCAGTGAGTGGAAAGAAGTCAAGCTACTAGTGCCATCTATTGATGAAAAATTAAAACAACTATAAAGTAATTTCTTAAAAGCTGAGGGCAAAAATTGGTTGGAATTGGGAACTGTTAACTAGAACTGAGAGTGTGAAATGCCTCTAGGAAATCTAATTTGCTAACTGATGATGTTTTTGAGTAATTTTGGTTGCAGAAAAATAGAAAATGTGATTTTCTGATCATCAGTGCTGGATAACAGAAGATTTGTGTTCCCCTCCCTCCAGTATATGCCTCATGTGCCTCGGTGCAAAACTTTAAGACTTTCTTGGTTTCACCAATATGAGTCAAACCGTATGAGAAGGAATTCTGTATATGCCATAGAAGTTCATATTCAGAATGGGGTATTTAAGTATAGAACTGCAAATTTTATTGATAGAAGGAAAAATATACCTGAAATTGAATTTTTACAAAATACATGCAGTTTTATAGCTAATCCATTCTTTTTACGGATCCATCTTCAATAATCGTTATTCGGCGTGTTATTGTAACTAAGATTCATTGGGTAGTTTTCCTGCAAATTGTTATTTTTTTCATTTCATGGCGGTAAAAGTCTGAGGTAACTATTTGCTATTAAAGGAATAAATTACAAGTTTTTAAAATTATCGTTTCAATAATTTAAGGGTTTTTAAAATTATCATTTCAATAAAGATCTTCAGCATTCTTTATATTGCTAACATATATATGAGGTAAGTGATATCAAAATAAGCTTGTAATTAATGAATATGTGTGAAATTGATTCGTATTAGAAGAATGAGTGTGAAATATAAGAAGAAAATTGGTTACATACTGGAAGTTAAACTTTAAAAAGTTTAATATCTCTTATTTTTATCTTGTTTAAAATAAGCTGCAAATTTATTTCACCAATCTGCTTTATTTTATTCATTACTGTGTTTATATAGTTTTTCATAAATAAAATTTGCCATGTAAAAATATAGTTCTTTACTTGAGTGAAGTATAAAAAAAAATTGAAATGCTGAAGAATAATGCATTTGGAGAAAACTGATAATTTTTCATTTTTGAATAATTGATAAAATTGTCAGTTATTGTACTTCAGATGTTTACTAATAAATGAAATAAAGTTAATAATTATTGAATTTATTAGTAAAATAGCCAATTTTTAGAAAAAATTATGAATTAAAAAATTAATTTTTTTTTGAAAAATTCTGCATATTAAATCTTAAGTAAAACTTCTCATTATCATATCTATTATTATATGTTTAATGTACTGGGATTTTCTTGGTTAAGTTCTGTTATTTCTTCCATGGACTACTTTGCTATATATTGAATGTAATATAATATGATTATTGTGTGGGATTGTTTTATTTTGAATTATATATAAACAGTGGCTTGAATACATTAATTATATTTTATGCGGGTGTTTATTCTCTTGATTTTCATCTGTGTTTTCTCCATCCGTCCAAACTGGCAGAAACGTAATTTGGTATTTTACAGATTGAAAACACAAATTTATGTTTTTCTGTAAACTGCACTAGTCCTTAAGGTGTTAAGTGCCTTACATGTGTGCCTTAACATGCACAGCTTGTATTAATCCATTCCTTGTGGTGCAGTAATTTTTTAGTGCATCTACTTAAACGCTTTCTGTAGTCTGTTTGATTATTAGCTGCTAAAGTAACACCTATAATATACAAGTAGTATATAACAGTGTTTCTCAACTCCCAGTCTTCAAGAAATATTTGCCAATCCGCGAAATATCCTGCTATCTGTCCAAAATCCAAAGTGTCATCGGCCGTCAACCGATATTACAACAGCACCTGCATTACAATAACAATAGTTTGCTAGTTTAGAAAATAATATGATCGATGATGATTTATTTATGTGAAAAAATTATGCCAATGGGTCGAATTATTAGACGTACCGGTCCACGAGAATGTACCAAAATATTTTACCGGTCCTTGGAGTAAATCCAGTTGAGAAACACTGGTATATAATATTGTTTAACATTTATATTCAGGAATTTCTCATTGCAATATATTGGTTTTTTATTAAATAATTTTGAGGAAAGTTTAGATGTCACTAGTACAAGAGGTGAAAATATTTATTTACTTGTGTAGCATGACATCCATTAAAAATTAAGGGGCACTTGTTGGTTTCACTGGCAACCAAAACACTGAGGAAAAAGTATCACCAAGTATAGGTGCCGTCCAATCTCCCTTTAATTAGGGGGGAAAAAAATGAAAAGTAAAAGAGAACGGCACTTTTAAAATTATGAAATTTTAACAAAAGTGTTAATTAAAAAAAAACTTTACTTTGCCAGCTACAAATTCCAACTTAAAAAAAGAAAAGAAAATTGTATTTATGCCCCTTTCTCAAAAATTCTGGTGGAGAATTTTTTTTTATTTTGGTTTTATGTGATCATGACCTCGATAAAACCAAGGAAGGGAGGCATCTGAGGGCTGTCTGTATAAAGGAAGGGCTACCTTTGTGGAGGGAAGTGGTTTTTATTCAAGTTCACTCATGAAGAAAATCACGAAAACCTATCCATGCAGGTGGCCCGTTCACCTGAAATCGAACCCAGATTTAACTACCAGTGATCATTGGCTTTCCCACTTGGTCGCTGGTTGGCTGGAAAATGTGAAATGCCGTCGCTGAAATTCGATCTGACTGCTAGCTGGACATACTTCTAGTTACTCCACAAAAGCACTACTTGGTGCATTAAAATACTCCATTGAGAGAATGCAATAGTTTCATTTTCACTTGATGACAAATTCTCATCATTTCCTATGAATGAAAAACATTATTTTATAACTCTTGCAGAAAATCTGGATTATACGAGGTAATTAGAACCGCAACTACCTCGGACAATCGAAAACTCAGTTAATAGGGAAATTAAATTTCTAATCATACCAATTTTTCTTTGAACAAGGTTTTCTGAAATTAATTATTTGAAATTTAGAAGTGTGTGCACAGGTACTAAAATTAACATTTTAACAAGCTTTTATTCGTAGATAAACGTATTTCCTTGGGTTAAACAAATAATCCATGCAAAATTTTATTTTGTGACAAAAAATGTCCATGCAAAGACTGGAATAAACGAACCTCATCAAAATTTAAGCAACTTTTGAAATTTTATCAAATTTGTTTCTCGTACTTTTATCAAACATTTTTTAATGATTACTTTAAATTGATTTTAAAGCTTAGATAATACTAGAGACTTGATAGAGACCCTCATAATATGTATTCTATTTTACTTGATTATAGTTCCGTGTTTTCTATATTGTTTCACGACAAATGGCACCAAAATTGGTGATTAATCTTTGGTGTCTGGTAAAACCAACAAATACCAAATTAAAATTTTAACTTATATGATTGAGTACATAATTTAAGATTTTCAATGAAATTATTTTTTAGAATGATGTCAATATCAACTTTTTTGTATTTGAAAGGATTAATGTAATTCATATGAATGATGTATTAAAAATTTTGATGATTTTTGATTTTATTTATTAAATTCATTTTAAATTTGAATTTGATTATTAAATTAATTTAGATATGTTTTCATGTAAAAATATTGTACAGACCGCCTTTAAGTATATTTATATGTATATTTAATTATACAAGCGTATAGAGATGCACATTTGTACATAATTTCATACTACTATTGAACTACATTCCCATATATAACATTTTTTATTAAAATATTATTTTTGTCTAGCAGTGAATATACTCAGATATGTACACCATCACCTGATAACATTATTTAATATTTTCTTAATACTTTTGTGTAACTTTTTTTTAAAAAAAAAAAAAGAATACCAAGTACAAATTTACCTCACTTTTAAAGTTAGTTCAAATTTATAAATAATAGCAATTTTTAAAGAGGGATTCATAAAATAAAATGTAATTATTTATTTAAATTTTGCTTGTGGGAATAAGATGATGCTTTCATGGCAGAGAGCGGAATTGAGGTTCGGCTGCATATTTTACTCTCTGGAGGTTGATTTTTATTAAATAGGTTCATCTCATTGATTAATCTCATCTCTTCGTTGCATTAACTAATTTTAAGGCAGTGAATGACAATTTAAAACATCAGTTTAACTGTAAAGTATTACTTTTTGTTCAATGAAATCATTGGTAGTATATTCATTTCTTAATGCATGGTTATAAAATATTTTTCGTTTCTTGAATTGAAAGATTTAGTTATAGTAAAGAATTTGATTTTACGGAAAATTTCATAATTTAATGCTATATTCTTTTATTAAAAAGTATATTATAAACTAAATTACTGTTCTAAATTGCTCTCCTCACAAATACAGTTACAAATTCCTTTCTCATATTTACAGTAAGGTGTGTTTTAAATGTATGGGAATGTTTATAAGAATAATTCAAAATTCACTGTGGAAATTTACTATTAATTAATTGCTTTGAATTCTATTATTAGATTAACTTCTATGAAATATATAGTATGTCTGTTTTGTTTAATTGTATGAGAGAATTTAAGATTTGTGCATTACAAGAAAATGCATATATATAAAATTGTAAATAAAGAAGCTGTGCTCAATGAAATACCTTTGTGTTATTCTTTTTAAAATCTTGTATTTTTTTTAAATATTTTTCAAGTTAATTTTATTTTCTTTATTGAAATTCAAAAAATTATAATGATATATGTACATATCATCTTTTATCAAAACACTAGAAATTCTAATAAATGAAAGTTCTTTACTTCTAAAATACTCAAACCAAACCCATAGTTTAGAAATAGCATGTAAAAATAGAAATGATTGTTATATTACAGATGTATGGTTTTAATCGGAAACTTACGAATATCAACATTAGAATCCAGAAAATAAAAACAAAAAAATCTGATGTGTACACCACATAACTTCCTTGTATGGAATATTAAATTATACGCATTTTTTCTTGCATTTTATTTAAACTTATTAGATTGAATTAATCCTACTTCGCCGACAGCGCATAAACCACAATAGAATAAATGCATTCTTTAAAATTCACTTTGTTTACCATAGCGACACTCTGGCGCTAGATTCACTTAACAGTATTATATTTCATTCATATTATAACTCAGAATGCACAAAATGTATATCATTTAAAGAATTATCTAATCGTTGCCACATGTTCTATTCAAATACTATAATAAAGCTAGAACTATGTATAAAAGAAATTAAGCAAACAAAACAGAAACAGTTTTTCACAGACGATTGAGTATTTCTCATTTAATTAATTCAGTTCTCACTTCGCGAGAAGACAAAAATACATAAAAACTCAGAATATCTATATTAAAAATTAAGAAGTAAATCTCAAACGCTTATTTCCTCGGAAAAATTCCAGAAAGAATTAAGCATGATTTAATTGGCAATAATAAATGAATGCGTTATCTTTGTTGCTGCGAAGCTAAGTTTCTCTAGAATGGCAACAAATCCACTAGTCTGCTGTTTCAAATGTAAACATCAATGGCCGCCATTAAAAACAGGCTTAGCGGCGTCTGATAATTCTAAAAATATTGCACACAGATTTACTAAAGGCATAAAATCCTTAACTGGAAGATAAAAACAACATAATTCAATCATTTTTAAAGCAAAAAATGTACAATTTACAAACATATAAGAGTAAAGAAACTGAGATCACTGAGCCGGGTAACAAAGTGGATATATATATAAATATATTTATATACGTTTGGTGCGGCCGATTGCAACCAAAATACGAGGTGCACATCTACATGTTATAGCAGTCCTATATACAAAATTTCAACGTTCTGAGGCTACTCGTTTTTGAGTTATGCGAGATACGCACGAACGTACGTACAGACGCCACGAAAACTTCTCTTCAGAATTAATTTTAAAGCAGTTTTATAATTTTTATGAAGGAAAAGAGTATTTTATTCTGTCCTTACGTACAGATATGACGCAAAAACATCGTTAAACTGCATTCGATAGCGGTCAAAATGGATATTTTTCGTTGAAATATGCTGCCTGAAACTTTTCGCGATTACTATACTTCCTTTTTAATTCGTACAAGGAAGTAAAAAAGTTTTAACAAAATAATCTTACATTTGTTATAATAATAAATATGGCTTGAAGTTTAATGTATCTGAATAGGAAGAACATTTCTTTCCGGAATTCTCACATGAGTGAAATACACTCTATAACAAGAAAATTCTACGCACTAAGAAGGAATTATCCGTTTGCTTTGAAATTTCGCATGCATGAATGTTTTGACCAAATATGCAAATGACTAAAATTTGGTGTCCAGTGAATGATTAGTGCGATCACCAGCACATCAGAACTGCGCGTCCAGCAGATGTATATAAGGAGCTGTTCTCTGAAAAATTTCTGTTACATTGCGATTTAAGGTACCTTTCAACGACTGAAAAAATGCCTCGCACCAGGATTCGAACTCATTACGAGCGACTGTCAGAGTTTGAAAGAGGTCGTATCATTGGACTGAAACAGGCAGGTTGTGCAAAAAATCGCTCCTCATATGAGTCGAAGCGATGCGGAGATTAGAAGATGCTGGCAAGAATGGGTGGACAATGGCAGATTTCAGCAGCATGATGGTAACGGTCGATCTAGGGCCACAGCAGATCGGGAGGAAAGTGATTGTCAGAGCAGCTGTCACAGCGTCTCATTCATCGCTATCAGCCATCAGACGTGCGACCCGCACCCGATTGTCCCACTATGACAATTCACAGACGGCTGATAGAACGAAATCTACGCTCGTACCGACCGTTACGCCACCTGCCACTCACGCCTGCACACTGTCGAGCCAGATTACAGTGGTGCTCGGCTCGATCAGATTGGAATGATGCTGACTGGATACGTACAGTCTTTAGCGACGAATCCCGCTTCCAACTGTGTCGTGATGATCATCGTAGACTTGTCTAGAGACGCCCAGAGCAGCGTATCGATCCTCCTTTCACTATTGCACGCCACACAGGCCGTGTTAAAAATTTTATATACCTTTCTTTCCTTTGGATATCCGTAAGTTGCTGAAATTATATTCACAGCGGAATACTACTGCAATTGTTTTAAGAAATTTTAATTAATGTGAGAAAGCTATTTATAGGTTAGAATTAATACAAACATTATTTTTTAAATATATGAGGAGACGGTCTATCGTTATACATTGTTAGACGCGTCAGCCGTTCAACTGACTACTTTTAGTCTCTTTCGCCAGAGGGCGTTCGTGGAAGTTCTAGTAAGCAAACGCGACACTCCCACCGTCCAGCAACAGAGGATGGACCTCAACTGACCTGTAGTTCAAGTCTTTTGAGATTTCGTCATACGTCGAGTTCTGTACCTCACTTAGCATATCCGACTCAGGTGTAAAGTTGAGTTCAAGAGGTATGAGGTTCTTAGTAGGTCTTATAATCTCCCCTTGTGCAGTTTTCAGTTTCACTAATCTAATGTGTCCGTCGTGGGATGGAAAAATTTCCACGATTCTAGCTAAGGGCCAGTTTATCCTTTTTTCGTTGTTGGACACAATTACAAGATCACCAACTTTCACAGAAGATGGTTCGCGGATGAATTTTGAGCTTTGTTTTAGTTGCCCTAAATATTCTGATCGAAATCTTTTTCGTAAATCTTTTCTCAATTTGGCTCTGTAAAGGTATCTTTTATTGATGGATTTAGAATCCAAAAGATCTAATTCAGGAACTCCAGTCTCTGGAATTTCTGTTAGAAACATTGCTGGGGTGAGAGCTCTTAAATCCTTTACGTCTTCTGACAAATACGTGAGAGGACGGTTGTTCATAATGCTCTCGCAGTCACAAATGATTGTCAACAATTCTTCGTAGTTCAGAGAAGATTTTCCTAGTACCTTTCGAAGAATTCTCTTTAGTACTCCAATTAATCTTTCCCACCACCCTCCCCACCATGGCGAGGAAGGGGGAATAAATTTCCATTCAATTTTCTTAACTGTTGCATTTTCTAAGATAGAATTCCAATCTATGGTCTTAAACAAATTATTTGATCCAACAAAATTGGTTCCATTGTCGGAGTATACAGTGGCAGGAAACTTTCGGTTGATAGAGATGAGACTAGCTCTAAGAGAACTTTTCTATATATTGCGCAAGTGAAAATGACGATCCATGTTTTTTGGCCTCCTTTTAAAATTAAGGGACCCGTCAGATCAGCACCAATAATCTCAAAAATTAAAGCATCTCTTATTCTGTCTTCAGGTAGTGGCGCTTGAGGAATCTTATATGAATCAGAGTCGAACCTTCGACATCGTACACAGTTTTGGATAACCTTGCGTACGGTCTTCCTACTCTTTATGATCCAATATTTTTCACGCAAAGCGCACATAACGAATTGTACTCCAGCGTGACTTAGCCTTTCATGTTCAGATTTGATCAGTTTTAATACTAATGGATGTTCTGAGGGAAGTAAAACTGGGTAACGAAAGTCAGCATCATCGTCTCTCTGAAAGATACGTGTCTTCACTTTTATAAGGCCATTGGAGTCCATGATAGGTTCTAGAGCACGTATTCTTTTATCTTTCAATCCTTCGAAAGATTCTCGTTGGATGAGTCGGAAAACCACTGTTTCAGCTCCTTTTAGTTCTTCGACTGAAATTCTCCCATGAGTTCTTTCAGATGGTGGTGTGTTGTAGCATTTTTAATGAATCTAAAGATCCAAGATACGACCTTTATGATCTTTTCGAATTTTGAAATATTGTCAAAAAGGTTAAATTTATCTGTATTCGTGTTATTGCTGGCTGAAACCACAGTTCGTTTTCTTTTCTCTCTCCATTTACTATATCGAAGTCAGGATGTTCTCCATCTGCAATAGGCCACTCTTCTGGAGGTCGATAAATCCAATCTGGTCCTTTCCACCATTCGGATTTCCTCAATTCTTTTGCAGAGCAACCGCGTGATGGCAAATCCGAAGGATTAAACTTTCCGGGAATGTGATGCCAGTGATCTGGGTTACTCAATTTTCGAATCTCATTTACTCGATTGGCTACAAAAGTGGACCAATTTTCTTTCTGTTTTATCCAAAGAGAGCATTTGTGGAATCCGTCCAGTAAAAAACTGGAACCTCTTTTAGTTTCAAGTCTTCTCTTATTGTATGAGAGAGCCTGGCTCCAATAGTGCAAGCGAGTATCTCTAGTCGAGGTATGGTGAGTGCTTTTAGGGGAGCAACTCTCGCTTTAGATTGTATCAATTGACAAGTGACTCCACTCTCACCGCTGTGTCTAAGGAAAATGCAGGTCGCATACGCGTCCTTGCTTGCGTCCGAAAATACATGCAGAGTGGTACTTTCGTCTATTTTGGGAAGCAATCTAGGAATTTTGATGTCTTTCAAATATTTTAACTGAGATGACCATGTGAAAAATTTCCTTGCTAGATCATTCGGCAGATTAGTATCCCAGTTAATTTTCTGTTTCCAGCACTCTTGCAGAATCAGTTTAGGCATGAGAGTAACTGGACTAGTAAACCCAATTGGGTCAAAGATTTTACTCAATTCGGAAAGAACAGATCTTTTGCTCAATACAGGGTTTTCTTCATATTTTACGTGACAAGACAAAGTATCGTCAAACAAGTCCCATTTCAATCCCAATACTGACACAACATCTTCATAATCTTTATCAGAAAGGTTTAGAATTGAAGTTTCTTTTTTTACTCTTAGGTCAAATTTTGCAGTAGCCATTATTTCTCTAGATCCTTTGATAAATGAGTTTAATTCTTCAATTGATTCCACGCTCGCTACGCAGTTATCCACATACATGGCTTTCTTTAGCTTTGAAGCTATTTCCTGATGATGTTTTGGTACATTTTCCAAATGGTAGTTAATCGTGGCAGCGAGTAAAAAGGGGCTGGCGTTTACGCCGAATACAACCCTTCGGTGCCGATATATAGTCAGTTTTTCAGGCTGTCCTTTCTCCCACCATAGGAACCGGAGAAAATCTCGATCCGCTGGGTTCACACCTATCTGAAGAAATGCTCTTTTTATATCCGAAATTACTCCATACTTCCCCTCTCGAAATTTTGTCAAAATTTTTGGGGATCAATTCAAGATAATTAGGACCCTTTTCCAGGCAGTCGTTCAGAGATACCGAATTTTTCTCCTTTGCAGATGCGTCGAACACTGGTCGAATTTTGGTAGTCGAATTTTCCCGAAACACTGCTCTATGTGGCAGATAATGCCCTTTGATCTTTTCTGCCTCCGAAATATCGATAGGTTCAATTATTCCCTCTTCTACCCAATCCTTTAAAACAGTTTCGTAGGCTTCTAAGGAATTCTTTGTCTGAAGGGTTTTCACGCAAGACTTCAGACGCTTTTCTGCAAGGATTCTATTATCTGGCAACTCAGGATGAATTTGAAGCCATGGAAGTGATACCTGATACCTTCCAGCGTCATCTCTTTCTAAAGTACGGATAAAATAATTTTCTGTAGCCTTTTCTATTTCTTGTTTTGTTTGCGAAAGAGCTGGTTCAGTTATTCCGATAGAATCAAGAGACCACAAGTCACAAATTTTTCTGTCACTAATGTGTAGTGATAAAAGAACTTCATTAAAATTCTTTCCCTTTACCTTCGTTCTCCCTAATATTGTCCAACCAAGGTGTGTATTCATCGCTACTAAACTCTCCGTTACGTGTTTATTTCCCCTGTAAAGAGTTTTCCGGCATAATCTGCTCCTACAAGCATGTGTATTTCGTTAGGGTGTTTTTCAAATAAACAAGAATTCTCATTAGTTACATCACTGGGAAAAATTTTGTAACCTCTTAGTTTCTTTAAGCATTCCCTATCCTCCAATTTTGGAATATGTGAGCATATGGTTTTTTGGCTCAAAACTTCCATTTCGCATGTGAATCCTGTTTCTGGATTATTTAACTTAATCAGATACTTGTTGTGATTTTCCCTTTTTTTTCTATTCCCTCCAAAAAGCCCATGAGTCACACTTTCCTGACCTAAAGATTTTAGTTTTAATTTCTCCGCAAGAAATGTGCTGATATATGATCTGCTACTTCCGGTATCCAGAATTATTCGTATAAAATTGCTTTCACCATCTCCGTAAACATTGACAATTAAAGTTTGCAAGATTACACTTTCATAGGATGAATTATTCGTTAAGGCCTTTATTTCAATTTGTTCTTCCTTAATTTCTCCGTTTTCGTTTTTAAAACACATTATAGTGGCATGTCGTTGTTTACATAATTCACACCTTATTCTAGAAGTGCAATTAAAACTAAGATGCCGTGGGTGTAAACAGCGATAACATATTCCTTTCGCTTTGCATTTCTCTTTTTTTTTTTTTCTCAGTAGACCATAAAGATGCTTGTTTACACGTTATAGACTCGTGATCAGAAGAGTCGCAGAAAAACACATGGTGTTTGTCCCCCCCGCAAACTTGCGTTCGTTAACTCCGAAGCTGTGTGTTTCGCAATAGGTCTGGTTTTCACTCAGTTTGTTATGCTTTTGCGGCGCCGCCTTTGGCTGGACCGTCTGGAATGTACGTTCCCGCGCAACTAACTGTTCAGAAAGAAATTCCACTAGGTGATTCAAATCGTAATTTGATTTTCGAACTGTTTTATTATATTCCAAAACCAAATCTGCGGGCAATGTTTTAAGCAAAATAGGTGTTAATAAAGCTCCATATGTTTCTGAGGTCATATTTAATGATTCAAGACATCGAATATGTTTCTGTATATAATTGAATAACTTACGGAAATTTTGAATGTCATTAGAATCCTTTAGAGGTCTTATTTTCAGTAATTTATCTATATGGGCGTTTATCAGTACATCTTTATTTCCAAATCTTTCTGTGAGGAGTTTCACTGAAGTTTCATAATTTTCTTCGGTTAGATCGAAACCGTCAATGGTGTTATAAGTAGTATCTCCTAAAAAAGATTTCAAATAATTAAATTTACTTATAGCGGCAAGCGTTTTATTTTGGTGTATGGCTGATGAAAAAGTGTTCCAAAATGTCAGCAATTCACAGCTCTCGCCATAAAACTTTGGAATCGCACTCAATTTTTGTTGTTCTGTAATTATTTCTTTCAATTTTTTGTTAGCTTTGTATTTAAATATAGTTATTCTTTCACGATATTCGTCAACACCGTTTAATTCTTGATCTAGATCCTTTATGTCTATTAATTTTTCTATATCGGCATCTGTTCGTTTTAACTCGTTTCGATTTTTCATTTAAGAGTTCTAAGGAAATTTCTAGTTCCTCTGCGTTCAATTTTGTAATTCGTCCTTCGGCCATCTTTGTAATGGTCGACCTAAGCGGGATTGCTAAGCTCAACAACTATACTAAGGAAAGGAAATAGATCGGAAATTTAAATATTATTAGAAGTATTATCCATCAAATGAAAATGAAACGATATTCTAATATTGAACACTGAAATCGAATCTATCATAACAGATCATAAAGAGTACGACACTGAAATACAGGATAGCTTGGAATATAAAAATAAAATTACCTTGTGTAAATTGAAGAGCAATAGAATATTTAGAAATAAAAAATGTGTTAAATTAAATGAGATGCCATCTAATTCTACTATAGATACGGTAGAAAACACAAATACAAATGACGCTAAACTTCCGAAACTAACCATAAATAAATTTAAAGGCGAAATATGTGAATTTCAAAGTTTTTGGGCTTAATACGAATCTGCTATACATAATAACTCTGCTTTAAAGGATGTAGATAAATTTATTACCTCAAATCTTTACTAACGGACACAGCTTTAATGTCAATAAAGGGACCACCGTTAGTTGCCGAAAATTACTCTAAGGCAATAAATATTCTGAAAGAAAAGTTTAGTAGAAAGGAAATTTTAATAAACGCACATATGAATCGTCTGCTGAATTTAAAGCCAGTAAAAAATCGATGATATTAAAACATTACGTAACTTATATGATAGCTTAGAAATTGAAATTAGAAGCCTTGGTTATCTTAACATTACTTCGAATTCTTACAGCTATTTGTTATGCCCGCTGTTACTGAGACTACTTCCTAGCGAATTAGTTTTAGAGTTAAATAGATCGTTAACCCCTTACACAGAAACCACAGTGACTAACATTTTGGAATTTCTGAAGAAGGAAGTTGAAAGCAGAGAGTGCACATTTTTCCAAACATCGCCAACTTATTCTGAGTTTAACATCAGAAACGAACAACATAAACATCAATCGCGAGACCTTTTTAAAAGTGAAAAATATCACATTGCCTTCAAAAACAAACATTTTGTCTCAGCAGTAACGTCGTTGAATACGAATACATTAACAGCTGATTGAATATTTTGTGGGAAGATAGAAAATGAATCTTTGAAACTTTCTACTTCAAATTGCGCAATTCCAATTGAGGAGAAATGAAAGAAATTAAAAATGGCTGACAGATACTGTTTATGTCTTCGTAAGGTTTATATTTCAGCCCGTTGCAGGTAGGAAATACGCTGTGATTTATGTTCATGAAGGCATAATGCTATTTTACATGATAATAAATTTGAAAATAAACGGGAAAATAAAGGTAAGCTTAAAACAGACACAGTGGTGATGTCGATTTCGGAAAGAGATAACAAAACTAGGGTTTATTTATAAACTGCAAATGGAATAGCTTTAAGGTCAGAATAAAAGAAAATAATGAAAGACTTCATTTTCTGATTCTGCCTCTCATAAATCTTTCAACATGGACAGAAGTATCAAAACAATTAAAATTAAGTTGTTGTGCGAGAAGAAGTACTTCAGATTTACACCTTCGGCTCTACCTGAGCCTACAGTTAAAAGGCTAAAAAGGTTAAGGTTATTCTTAAAGTATTATGTGGACCTGGGAAAATAATAATTGAAGCTCTTGAAACTCCAGAAATTAACCAAGCTGTTATTGGTATGCCAAGAAAGGAAATATTTAATTATTGTAAGGAAAATTCGATAAGACTTGCTGATGCTACAGATATAAGTTTCCATAACTCTCAAATATCAGTATTAATTGGTAATGATTATTACTGGAAACTAGTCACTAAGAAGGTTAAAAGATTATCAAAGAGTCTTGTTGATTCTGAAACCATATTTTGTTACGCTATAAGTGGGACTGAAGCGTTAAGTAATGTTTCTACACTTCATTCCGGAATTACGGTAATGAATGTTGTTGAGAATATTTCACATGCACAGGATTTGAAAACTAGTGCAGCTCTAAAAAAGCGATGGGATTTAGATGCAATTGGAATACTTGACTATAAAACAAATGAAAATGACACTGAAGTTATGCAGAGATTTGAAGAAACAACTGAATATAAAACCAATCGTTATGAAGTTTCATTACCTTGGAAGGGTAATGTCAACAAAATGGGTAGTAATTATAACATCGCCTTAAACAGATGGAGCAGTTTACTTAAAAGGTTTAAGAAAAATCCTGAAATTTATGACAAGTATTCAAGGGTAATTGAAGATTACCTAAATAAAGGAATATCTGAAAAGGCTCCGAAGAATTCTGCAGAAAATATCTATTATTTGCCACACCATTGTGTAATCAGAGAAGATCACGATTCTACGAAATTAAGGGTCGTATTTGATGCTTCCTGGCATACTCATGACAGTCTATCTTTAAATGATTGCTTACATTCAGGACCAAATTTGAACCCTGAATTAGTAAATTTGCTAATTAAATTTCGTTGACACAAAATAGCATTTGCTGCAGATATGGAAGCTGCTTTTCTACAAATTCTGTTGAAGCCTGAGGACAGAAATGCAGTAAGATTTCTTTGGACTGCAAAGGAAAAGGAGCAACCGATGATTTTAAGAATGACACGTGTAATATTCGGAGCAACCTGTAGCTCTTTTTTACTAGCAGCAACTATAAAGCATCACGCAAGAAAGTTGAAAGCACAATATTCGAAGATCTCTCGGCTTCTTGAAGAAAAGTTTTACGTGGATGATTTGATTCATGGTACAGATGATGAAGAAGAAGCTGCAGAAATTTATGAAGATGTGAAAAAAATTATGATGCTTGCTAGTTTCAATATGAGAAAGTGGAGGAGCAATAGTGCCCAATTATATGCGATTTGGAATGCGGCTGAAAATTCGAAGTTTAATGGAGACGGAATGAATAGCACTTCGTTAGGATATATTTGGAATTATGAAGGAGATAAACTGAAATTTCGAATCAAAGATGAATTTCTCAAAGATCATGCTAAAGAAATAACAAAACGGAAGATTCTTCAAATTGCAGGCGAACTATACGATCCTATCGGTTTCATATCTCCCTTTGTTGTTGCAGCTAAAATGATGATGAAAGAATGTTGGTAAAGAGGACACCAATGGGATGCCACTTGATCAAGAATTGCAGAACCGATTTAAAAGCTGGTATAATGAAATTCCTAAATTAAAAAATATTGAAATTCCAAGACATTATTTCAACAGTCTGTCGAATATTCAATTGCACTGTTTTACAGATAGTAACCCAAATGGATATGGTGCCGTTGCGTATTTGAGATGCAATGAAAATGAGCTAACAAAAACATCATTGGCTATGTCCAAAGCAAGAGTTGCTCCCATAAAAAAGTTACGTTACCTCAACTGGAGCTTTTAGGAGCAGTCATAGAAGCTCGACTCATCACATACATTCGACATTCGTTGAAAAACATAGAAATGAAGATTTATATGTGGACAGATTCAGAAATTGTACTACACTGGGTCAAGGGTGATCCAATGAAATGGAAACAATTTGCACAAAATAGGTATCTAGAAATCCGAGAGAAAACTGATCCAGATTGGTGGAATTATTGTCCCAGCCATGAGAATCATTTGGACTTATTGACGAAAAGGCAGAAGGTAGAAACCCTTTCAAAAAATGAACTGTGGTGGTATGGCCCACCTTGGCTTGTTAAAGATAACAACGTTTGGCGCAGATCTTCGAGAAATTTTAATGAAGATGATAAAATAACAAAAAGGAAGAAGCAAGAAATCTTAAGAGCAAACTGTATTGTTGAAAACAGCCAACCTATCATTCCTATCGAGAACTTCAGTGACATAAAGGAAGTACATAGAATAACATCTTATGTTTTCAGATTTATCAAGAATAGTAAAAACCCAAAATTAAGAAGAATTGGGCCTGTCAAGGCTGAAGAGATGACTGTAGCAGAGAATTTCTGGATCAAGAAAACTCAGGAAGAAAATTTTAGAGAAGAAATAAGGAAATTAAAGATGAAACAAAGCATACATAGTTCGAAAATATTTACATTAAATCTATTTGTAGACTCAAATGGAATACTCAGTGTAGGTGGAAGGCTTCAAAATGCTGGGTTAAGCTATAATCAAACATACCCAGCAATATTACCTGAGAAGTCTCATTTAACAGATCATATCATTAAAGATTGTCACGAAACGCAAGGACAGGCTGGTGTAGCTGAAATTTTAACTCAAATTAGAGAAACATTTTGGATACTTAGGGTCGACAGCGCGTAAAGAGTAATATTAACAAGTGTGTGATTTGCTGTAGATTTAATGCTAAGCCACTAAGTCAGGATATCGCTCCTTTACCAACCGAAAGAATAACAGATGCAAATCCCTTCGAAGTCGTAGGACTTGATTTTCCTGGTCCTATGAGTACAAAGGATGAAACTGGGAAATCTTATATTGCTCTGTATACATGCGCTGTAACCAGAGCAGTGCATCTGGAACTAGTGTCTAGCCAAAAAGCACACAATTTTCTGTCCTTTAGAACATTTATTTCAAGAAGAGGAGTATGTCGAATAATATATTCAGATAATGCAAAAACCTTCAAAAGAGCAGACAAGGATTTACGAAGACTGGAATACCATCAAGGACACAGAAGTTCAAAATTATTTTGGTAATAAAGGTATTGAGTAGAAATTCAATGTGAAGAAGGCGGCTTGGTGGGGCGATTTCTGGGAAAGGCTTGTTAGATCTATCAAGTCATGTTTGAAGAAAATACTCATGAAGGCTTCACTTAAATTTGAAGAGCTGGAAACAGTTTTAATTGAAATTGAGGCAATATTGAATTCACGTCCGCTGACTTATGTTCATAGTGAAGTAGGAGAACCAGAACCGCTGACACCAGCTCATTTTCTAGTTCGACAAAGAAATGACATCTTTACCTTCTGGGAAAACTCTTGAACGCGATTCAACTGAAGAAAATTTAAGAAGTCGATATAAATACCGGCTAAGGTTATTAGAAGGGTTTTGGAAAAGATGGAAAAGGGAATACTTACTTGAAATTAGAAACGTAAAACAAATTCGGAGAGGTAATGCTGTTGTAAGGATTATGTTAATTTTATTAACAGTTAAATTTTAAGTTCCTTTCCTGTCAAATTCTTAACTTCAACTTACTACTTCCGGGCAGAACGTTGTTTTGGAATCACTCTGAATACTTAATGAGGAGGAGCGGTATTCAAACGCGAAGTCTACTTGCTGAGTTAGAGAGAATCAGAGTTTGTGATTTGTGCGTGTCTGCCTTTGGCTACTCTCTCTCAAAGCTGTTATTATGCTCGGCCATACTCAGGCCCTTGATAAGCTTCGTAGTCAAATAGAGTTAAGAGGCCAACTCGATTAGAATCTTGATAGCTTCGGCTATAACTCTTTAGTTAATCTTAGTTTTAGTTTATTTCTTAGTCTCTTAAGTTCAAGCCCTAGTGTCGGCTTTTATTGTACACTCCAAGACGGAGTTTAGTTAAATCTTATTGGAATAATAATGGGATAGTTCACCCTTCTCATTTGTCGTTTCCTGAACTCAAGCGATTATTCGCTTACTAGTTCTTAAGGTTTTCACTTATAATTGCAAATATTCAGTGATAAATCCCACATTTGGCGCCCGAAAAATTGATAACGGACCATGTCTTTAGAATCCGGGAACTTTACGTTGACCCCTCCGACCTTTCAGATCCCTTAGACGTCCACGAATCCTATGGAAGGGTTTGGATTCATCATGGAAACGACACGGGCCTCTATGAAACCAGCAGCAACATTAGACGGCAAAGGCTTAGTAAATGACCTTCCTGGACCAACTGGACCTACATTTCACTTTGCATCCTGTGAACCAGCTGCTAAAGGTGACCATCGCTACTACAGCCTTAAAAGGTAAAGCCATCAGCTGGTATAAAGGCATAGGAAAATTCTTGTTGGGGGACCCAGGATCGGAATTGTACAACTGGAAAAATTTTAAGTCGGCATTAGTGAAAGCATTTCCAGTTGTTAAGGATCGTGCGAAGCTAGAATCAGAATTGTACAGTAAATATCAAAGCAATTTCGATGAGTTGACGGAATTTATTCTACGAAAAATACAAATTTTTAATTTATTATACGGAAAAAGGCCCGATAACGAACTTATTAAAGTAATTCTACCGCGTTTATTACCGTCAGCTCAAGATTTCTTCGAAGTCCGTAAACCGCAAACGCTAGAAGATCTATTTTAGCTTGCGGTGAAGTTCCAAAGCCGAAGGAATTCGGAGAAAGCACGTGTGAACCAGTTTGGCCGACACTCACGATTTACTCCTCAAAAGAAACCGCAGCTTCAGTACAATGCGTATCGGCAGAAGGGAAAAAGTGAAAAGTTCAATAACAAGAGCGTAGATAAAGCAAAGGGTAGCGGAAAGAAAAATCAGCGTAAAGAGGCGGCGGGTAACCAGAATTTAAACCCAAACTGATGGTGATCGAGAAGGGGCAACGGTCACCTAGTGGGAAGGAAGACCCCCCTCAGAAATTCATTTAAATACAGTGGTACAAAATATAGCTATGCCAGAGATACATATCCTAGTAAATAACGTACCAACCACTGCACTCCTGGACACAGGAGCTCAATGTTCATTCCTCTCAGAAGATTTGTACAGGAAGCATTTTCGTCGTTACAGACTGTTTAAAGCCACGGGACAACAAGTAATTGCCGCCCAAGGCAAACAGTGCGTATGTTTGGGGAAAACCGTACTGTATGTTCAAATTAAAAATGAGGTGTCAAAAGTTAATTTTCTAGTCGTGAAAAATTTACTCACGTCCGTCATATTGAGGCTCGATTTTTTACGTGCATCCGGCGCAAATCTTAATTTCCAGAATTCTACGTTTCAGGTGCACATGGATCCAGTGGAAGAAGATGAAGTTTCCATGGCGGAAATGGGCTTAGACCACCTGAAGCTTGAAGAAAAGTAGAAGATTAAAAATTTGGTAAGAAAATTTAATTCTCTGTTCAGTGATAAAGCGGCTTCTGCCAAGTAGTTAACCATTCTATTAATACAGACAATGCCCCTCCAGTACGGTCGAAGCCCTATAGATATGACAAGGTAAAAGAACAAATTATCGAAAAACATATTGAAAAGATGTTAGAAAACAAAATTATTGTGTCAAGCACTAGTCCTTAAGCAAGTCCGGTAATCCTTTGTAGAAAGAAGAATGGGCTACCGCCTGAGCACCCGGACGCGTATAGGTTTGCAGTTGATTATAGTAAACTTAACAGTATAACAAAATATCCCACGGATACCTTACCAATAATTGACGAAATAATTAGGAAAATTCGCTCGACTAAATTTATGACAACCCTAGACCTAATGTCAGGTTATTTTCAAATCGCCGTAAGACCGGAAGATGTTGAAAAGATCGCATTTATTACAAAATCAGGCGTTTATGCCCTTTTAAGAATGCCATTTGGTTTAAGCGGAGCACCGGCTACT